AGAGATAAAGACATCAACATCAAGTAAACTACTATTAGCTAGTTTATGATTATATATAGTTATAATTTAAGCCTACAATAAAACAATATGCATATGAAAGTACAGTTATATATATAGGGTATTGCTAATGTCACCGCCAATTTTTGCTACTGTCACCTACTCAACATATTTCTTTAGTTATTTTATTCCATCCAAAAAAAATGTAAATATTTTTGACATATATTAAACCACAAAAAATGGTTGTGGTGGCAATAGAATCATCCTATATATATACATACATATTTATATACATAAGTTTTAAATATATTCTTTGCATAAAAGAAAAATCATGTTTATTTTGAATTTAAGATGCAAATAATTGTCAAAATGCAACTATTTTTTATATAAATATTTTTTATACATAATTCTATTTATTTATTTATTTAGTAATGTAGAAAAATAAATTTGAAATTTGATAAAAATATACAAGTATTCAAGTATTTCAAGAATTGATATTATTTCTTTCTTCCAGTTAGATTGCCATTGGTTTGTGTTTTAATTTATATGTTTTTACAGGTATCTTGAAATAATAAATTCAAAAAAGCAAATTTTTAAAAGTATTCTTCAGGAATTCAATTGTGTGAAAAAACAAGTTCACTATGTATAATAATTCACTTGAGATCTTGTTGTATTCTTAAAATTTGCAATAGACTTTGTGTAGCCTCTAATTGTCACTGTTATTTATGTTTAGATAAATTTTCTTTGCTATAAGTTAAGGATATATTTGAGGACCTAGAATTTAAGATTTACACAAAATTTGACTTCTGATGTACATGAGATTGAATAAGAGATTAGACAATGCAAATATTCATTTAAGATATATTGACTTTAAAAAAAATAATCAAAGAAACAATGTTTTGATAAGATTTGCAGTTAATAAAAATAAAATTTTGTTGAGCATAAGTTTCATGCTTAAAAAAAAAAACCAAATAAATAACAATAAAAAATCAAACAAACAAAGGATGGGTTTCTTAACCAACTAACAAAGATTGAAAGAATCTAATAACTTCAAATGAGTTCCAGTAGTTTTGACCTTCTGTGGCACAATGCTAAACTTTTCTTATGTCAATTTTACAATTAAAAAAAACTAACACTTAATTTTGTCAAATGGCGTCTAGTTGGTAAATGAATGTTTGTATTGATAAGCCACATGAGATCTTGATAGTGAATATATAATAATATATTCACTACTTCCCAACATAGCCAATAAAATATTGTGAATCAGTAACTTGCAATTTACACTATTTTAAAGTTATTTTAAGGTAAGAAAAAATGTGTATATATATATATATATATATACATATGTTGTTATGTATTATAATACACTAATACTGTTTTAAAAAGTCTTGAATTATACTGCATATTCAACAACATTAATCAACCAAATTAACATTCATGCAGCAACTTGCAAATTTGGGATATTTAACTAACTCCAATGTCAATGGTCTTGAAACATATTTTATCAATAATTTGAGGAACCAAAGAATCCATGACAATGTTGACTTTGTCACTGACCAACAACTATTAGGGGTGTGTCCCAGAGGGTCCCCTTGCAACCATTCAAAGTCATTGTAAAGACACTACATTGTCACCATCAAAGAGTTTGTATATTCAATTTGGGTTGGTGTTTTATTAATATATACACATAGTACATTTGAAACCACAGAAGTAGTTTACATGAAGATGGCATGATTGGAAGCTCTCACACAATTCTTTTGGAGGGTTACCTATCTTTAATAATAATTCAAGGTTATTAAGCAATAGTCCTTGGATCAAGTCCTACGAAAAAGATAAAGAAAAAATTGTACACTTACTTCTTCAAGGATCAAGGATTTCCAGCTGTTAGTAGAGGCACTAAATAGCACAGCAGAAGTGATTACAACAGCTGGTGCATCACATGACTTCAGCTTAGTGTTTGATGAAGCTGTGGCTTTCAATCTGATTGCTGTGAAGCTTGCATTGGTTGGTTGTGTTGATGCTGTCAGAGCAGAGCATCAAGTGGAGGATCCCTGCATAGGCCCAGAGTGTGGTTAATTAAAAATGTTGGGAAGTATAAACGAGAGGCATGGAGTTTACAGTGTCCCTTACTAGAGAGAAAATGCCTTGATGGTGGTTGAAGCCTGAAGGGTGATGTCCCTCAAGTTCAGAAGGGGAGGGTTGCTGCTAACTTGGGTTGCAGCAGAGCACTCTTCAAACATCCATTGCACAGTCAAAATAGTGTTCTGATCCAGGTGCCACACTTCCATCTCCCATAATATGTTATTATGAAACATTCAGAATGTACCTGGGCATAACATCTGTCTATAGTGCAACTGCTCCCATGGATCCATTGATACAATGAAAAATTGGTGTTCTGACAAGTACACACATCACAACCACAATAGCTTCCATGGACCAATCTCAAATTTGTTGGGATGTTCTTGCATGATCTACAGGTCACAACATCTTCTAAGTTCAAAAACTTCTTGTGAAGAGTCATGAACCACGATAAGGAAACCACCATAGAATGGCAACTCCAATAAAATAATATTTGCCATCTAGTGCTGCAGCAATCTTTTTCAGACCCTACCCTATTCAGATCAGAATAATCACTTGAATGTGATGTCTGTGCTGCTGTAGAGTAAGACACCTTAGTTTTATAGTTTCTCTTTATTAATGTAGTTGTAAATACCTCCAAAAAATAGTTTAAATCATACAAAAGACTTAAATATTTTTTTTTATTTATTCAAGATGCAAAGCAAGAAAGAATATTTTTAAATAGAATTGAGTCTACAATCCTACTTAAGTAAAATCATCAAGCTATCAAGAAGGATTTATTTGCAAAAATATTACTTAAAAGACAAGTTTCAATAGCCACATGGTGCAATTATTGGAATCTAAATTTCAAATCTCTATCTCAAAAAATTCTTCAAAGTTTTTCAAAGAAGATATTATCTATCCACCATATTCTACCTACTTCTACTTACTTCTATTTACTCAAGTAATAAAGGCATTAATTTTAATCTCTAACTTAAGAATACTTAATGCGACTTGATTATTAATACAACAATATTTTGATATTAATTATTAGAACATCAAGATAAGATCTAATAAAAAAATAAACAAAAAACATGTATAAAATCTCTTAAGATATTTAATTTATAATATTTGCTTTATATAAAATTTATAAAAAAAATTATGAAATAAATATTATAGAATTTATTAAAATATATGATATGTTGGAACCCTATTTACTATCACGAGTATAAAAAGAGGTTGTGATGGTTGAGTAGTATTAGCAATCAGATTAGATTAGATTAGATTCTTGTAGCAAGACAATAAATATATAAATAAATATGATACAATAATTAATTTTTCATGTTTGGTATCCTTTCTGTAACAAACCTTATACAACTTTTTAAAGATTTTTATAGATGTTTTTAATCCATTTGTTCTTGCTTAATCTTTTGAGGAAAGTTTTTCATCATTGGTTTTGCAAGCTTGGATATACAAGTTCTGATATTGTTTTTTTGAAAGGGGCTATACATCCACAACAACAAGCATCACTGAATGTGCTTCTTTATTATTATATGTGAAAGATAATCATAAATAATAAGCTACTTTTTATAATGTCACACTTGCCCTTTTCTATCACTTTATTGAAAACATAAGCAAAAATGATAAGAAGCAGATATGACTAACTTTGACAATGTACTTCAGCCTCCCTTTGTGTAGTTACATTGAGTAGAGGAAAATATGGTGAAGCAAATAACTAAGTTACCTGTCTATCTAGACTCACCTCAGCAACACAGATGTATATGCTTTACATAATTCCAAACTCTTTATGTAATCCCAAACTACCTTTGATGTAGGTAGTTTGTACAGTGTTATAAGTTGTTATCTCCACGATGCAAAAGTATTTTTGCATGGACTTTGACATCTTTCAAATTTCAAGCATGTTGCACTAAATTAGATGTATTGGGTGCAACCTCAAAGCTATTAACTACTCCCCCTTAATTCTACTCTACTTAAGAGAGCATTCAAATTAATATTCCAAGTGCAATAATTAATTCCATAAAACGAGGGGATTAATAAAGCACAAGAAGAATTATGAAAAGTCATAGCGGATTGAATTTTGTACTTACACTAAAGGAAATGAAGGATTATTAGTGCTATGATACCATGTAAGAGAAAGAACACTAACAATGATAAAATAAAAACATAAAGTATATTAATACAATAACTTGATTACATCATATTCATAAGAGCCTTTTATATTGTCTTATGGAGTGAAGTAGTAACTTTTGTACTAGTAATAATAATAATAATAATAATAATAGCACTTGCAAATTGATTCTTTCATTTCTTTCTTTCTAGGTATTTTACGATTCTCACTTGTTATGTATTTAATTAATAATAGAAAATAAATAAATAAAAGATAGGGAAGAAAAGAAGAAGTGGCCGGATGATGGAAATGGAATGAGAATCTGATTAACATTATCTCTGCTTGCTCTGCCAATTGGGTGTTTCGTTTGCTTCGGTTCTCAGTCGTTCTGATCCTTGCAATCACTGCAAATGCCACCAACGTTGAAAGGTTCGCACAAAGGATCCTAGCTTGAATCCTAACCAGGCATAATCAACAAAACAAAAACAAAAAAAATACACCTAAGATGTATCCAAAAGATGGTGTGAATAAAAGCTTACTAAGTTCTTACTGGAAAGAACCCAGCTTGAAACTTACTTGGTCTAGAAAGGGTAAAGGAATTGATTTTGCTTTGTAATGAATTTAGGAACTATTTTTCTAAGTCATTGTGCCGAGGCCAGCTTTCATCATCTTCTTTGACACTTCATAGAAATGAATTCATAGATTGTATGTTGCAGAAGACTGAGCACATCAACATCATGTAGGGATGAACAACGAGGACGAATTCATCCCGGAGCCGAGGAGGATGAGGGAGCTGTTGTATTGAAATGTGCTTTCGATGCGGGGTCCCGATCCACATTCCTCGGGGAGAGAAGTTGTCGAGGGGGGATTCTGCTGCCGGATGGGCTCTCTTGGTTTTCTCCGGGTTTTTGTTTTCGAGAGCTCCGCTTTCTTTGGGTGCTAGGGTTGGTGCTGTTCAGGTGCGGTGTGTTGTGGTGACGGCAGCGGCGTTGCTGCAATCTTGGTTTTGCTACGTTTCTCCTGTTGCCATTCCGGTGGTCAATGCTCCTAGTGTGGCGACGCTGGTTTTGCATTCTCCTCCTCGCAGTCGTGCAGTTGGAGCGAGATCTGGCTTTTTGCTCGCGTTACTGTTCCCGTGGAGGGGGGCTGGTCGTCATTTAGGGCGCTTCTGCAACGCCGTTCCTGGCTGTTCTACCTTTTTTGTTGTCTGTGGCGATCCTGCTTCGGAGTGTGCTGCGATCAAGGCTGGTGGCTGCGGAAGCTCCTGTTGTCAACGTGATCTGGTTTCCGTACTTCTTCCGTTGGTCTATGGTTAGAGGGCGAGCGATACGGGTGTTCATGATAAGGTGGTAGTTTTCGACGGCGCCTTGTTGCTCTATTGTTGTTATTGCGCCGCCGCCTACCACTGGAGTGTCGACGGGTTCCCTTTTGGGGTATTTTTTTTTCTCCCTTTTTCCAGCTTCTGATTCGAATCGTGTTGCTGTTTGATGTAGTCGTGCATCGAGCTGGTGCTCGGCCCATGTTCTTCTTCACAGTGTGTGAAGGGGCGTTGGATGGTGCTGGTTGCACTGTGGTGGAAGCATCTAGTGTTCGACGGTGTCTCATGATTCTGTTCCGTTTGGTGCTCTCTGGTGGCGCTTCTTTTTTTCGGGTTGGTGGTCCAGTGGCATTGAGGATTGTCGACGCTTTCTTGTTGCTGACTTCATCTTTTTCGCCTCGAGCTTCTTCGGTTCTGTTCTCCACCAACTTGTTGTAGGCTAAGGCCATTGATGCTACTGTTGCGGTTGAAGTCATGGCTGCTGCTGCAAGTTCGTGAAGAGAGTAGTGGACGTTTAGGTCGTGGTTGGTAGCTGTCGGGGAAATTGCGGTATTTGCTATCTGCCGACCCGCGTTTTTGTCGCCGTGGATGCTGGAGGATTAAGTCCTGCGGTGCAGTGCCGTCAATTTTGGCTGGTGGTCGACTTAATCCGGCTCTTGTTGCTGTGCTCGTTCGTCTCCGACTATTTTTGGGGTCCGGTGTTGTTCGACTATCGCTGAGTTTCCGATCATCGTCGTCGCCTTTAGTCGGCACTGTCGGTGGACTGGCGGGGTTGGCAGGTATTGTTGAATGGGAGAAATGATGTTGTGCAACTAGTAGGCGGACGCGAGTTCGCTGGTGATGTGGGTCTTGATAGCAGATATCGATGCTTAAATTTGGAGATGTGACAGTCAGCGAAAAGTTGAGAAAGTAACTCGACGGTTAGAGTCCCTACCGACAATTGCAGAGAGGCAACGTTGTTCAGAATTCAGTGTTGCAAGGGTGTTCGAAATGTAGTACCGATTTGTTAGTGCTGATGAGGTAAGATGGTTCATTAAAACACAAAATTGTGGTGTATGGAAGGTCCTCGTGAGGCAGGCATTGAAGTTGACAGCGTAGTGAAAAATTTATGTAAGCAGCTTGGTATTCAATAGAACCGTCGGCTTCGCTGAAGAATATCATGTGAGCAGGTAGCATCTGGAGTTCGGATAGCTTCCTGTGATACTCTTGGACTCGGAACAATTGTGATACGATTATCATCCGGCAGCCCTCTTTTCCATATCCCGAGTTTCTGTTGCAAGTCATCTTCGCCTACCCAGTTTCATTTCTGTGAAGGGTTCTGAAGATCGAAGGACTTTGAGCCGCCAGTGGGTCGGCGAGCAATTCCATTTCTTCTTGCACAACTGCTATCGCAGCTACTCCAGGCTCGTTTTCGATACTTCCACATTGCGGTGAGACTTCCGGATTGGATGAATTGTTGGATTGGATGACTAAATGAGTTGGATAAAGTTAGGTTAGGAATTTGATCTAGCCATGTGGATGAACAACTTGAATGAATACTCAGGTATGGGTGAATTCTTATTGTTAGATGACATCTCATTTATGGATGAAGTTTTGTATAAAGATGAATTCTTATCAATGGATGAGAATATCTAAATTGAGTGATGATTGGAGGTATGATTTTTTTTATTTTGGTTGCTTGTGTTAAGTTGGACTAAATTGAGGGAGTTAGAAGGGTAGGTAATAATTGCAATTCATTGGATATTAAAATTTGGTGGATTATTGCATGGTTGAATAAGCTACCATTAGGGTGGTAATATTTATCTTCCAAGAATCTAATCTAGTTTTTCATCAATCAAATACTAATATTTGATGTGTGCATTTTCTCATAAGTTTAATATTAAAATTTGATGCTTGCATCTTCTATAGGTGACAAGGCCATTTCCTAGTAATAAATTTGAACATCTTAAAGCACTATTTCCAATTCTTCTTTGAATCATGGCTAGGTTGGATTCTACAACTCATACTTCAGAATCAATGTTGCCAAATGTTGATGGTGTGGGTAATGCTCTTTCCACTACAAAATCAATATGTCGAGTTCAAATGGTTTTAATACCTTAGTTTCATTATTGTGCTTCTTTTTACAATATAGATAGTGTATTTTACTACAGGCATGTTTTTTCTCTAGTTGTAAGTAATGTTGTGCTAGTCTTTACAATGTCTTTTTGATTGTATTGACAACCGTATGATTTAATATTGGTCCATGGTTATGAAATACGTGCAGATCATACTCTTGGTGGAGTTGTATCAAGCATATATTCAGAATTGCAATTGTATTTGGAAATTGCAATGAAGTCCATGGAAAAAGTCGAAGAGTTAACTTCTCAAAGAGAGGCAACAAATTTGCCAAAGTTCAACAAAGATGAATGTGAATATTTAGCTTGTAAACTCAAGCTCACCTTTGAGAGTGCTAGTTTATTCTTTCTTGCCATATGCCATCGAAAAGACATTCCTAAAGAAGCTTTGGCAAGTTGTGTGGGAAATTTCGAGCTATTTGCTACAAAGGCAAAAGAAATTGAAAGTTTCATCCAAGATTGTTGTCAAAATGCATGGATCCAAGCTGCCATCATATTGACAAAAGTGCAAGAGCGGGTTTCATCATTAGGCTTTAATTTGGAATTATGTAGACTTATATTTGTTGACTATGAATTTAGAGCACCACTAAGCAAAACGTGGACAGAACTTGTTGACAAAATTGAAGAAATCAATAGTATTGAAGCCAAGATTGTGCAAGAGAAAGCATTTCAAGATGAAGAGGCGTTGCTAAAGAAAGTGGATTTGGAATTGAAATCATTGAATGGTGAGGAGGAAGAGTTAGCTTACATTTTGCTTGAAAGACTTAAAAGCACATCAATTGCATCTTCACGAAATTCATTGAAGGGAGAATTGGAGAAGGTGAAGCAATGCAACCAAATAGGAAAAGGTGCATCTGCAACTGTATATAAAGTTAATTGGTTAGAGATGGAAGTTGCAAAGAAGGTGTTTTATGGATCAAACAATAAATATTTTGAACAAGAAGTGTCAATTGTATTGGGGGTGTTTCATGCAAATATTATGTCCATACTTCACTATACTTCAAGCAAGCATCAGTGCTCTATTTTCATGGAGTTGATGGATGGAGATCTTACTTCTCTAATATGGCATAGATTGGAAACTCTTCATCTAAATATACCATTTTCCAATATAGTAGTTGTTGACATTATTCTTCAAATTGCAGAAGGTATGGTTTGTCTTCACTCAAAAGATATTGTGCACAGGGACTTGAAACCAGAGAATGTTTTGGTGAAGATAACAAATATGGAAACTGGTCATGTACATGCCAAATTGGCAGATTTTGGAATGTCCAAAATCAAGAAAAGTAGTTGTTCTACTCAAACACTCAATATAGGTACTACTAGATACATGGCTCCAGAAGTGATTAAAATCCATGAGCAAGGAAGTGAAAACCATATGCTTACAAGTGCAAACAAACGAAAGTATCCACCAAAAAGTGATGTGTATAGTTTTGGTATGGTGTGTTATCAAATACTAACTGGAAAAATCCCTTTCTTTGATCTATCTAATAGTGAAGCCAAGAAAAAGATAAAGAGTGGAGAGTGCCCATCTCTACCTCATCATTGTCCACCAATTTTGAAGAAATTGATAGAAGACTGTTGGAAATTTAATCCCAAAGATCGTCCAACCTTTATAGAGATATGCAAGGATTTAAGGTGTATAAAATATTTATTGATGACATCATGTTCAAGCTTGATAATATTGCCAAATAAATCAATTAATTTTTTGTCTTTTACAACCTTGAAAATAAGTGAATCTTCAAGTTTGATATCATTGTTAAATAAATTGGATAATTATTCAACTTTGACAACTTGTGAGATAACTATGTGCTCAAAGTTGACGTCATTGCCAAAAGAATTAGTCAACCTCACATTTATAACTTCTTTAAACTTAAGTGGGTGCTCAAGCTTGACATCATTGCCAAATGAATTGGGCAACCTCACATCTTTGATTTCCTTAGATATAAGTGGGTGCTCGAACTTGATATCATTGCCAAATGAATTGCACAACCTTGCATCTTTGACATCTTTAAATTTAAGTGGGTGCTCGAACTTGACATCATTGCCAAACGAATTGGACAATCTCACATCTTTGATTTCGTTAGATTTAAGTGGATGCTCGAACTTGACATCATTGCCAAATGAATTGGACAACCTCACATCTTTGACTTCATTAAATATAAATGGGTGCTCGAGCTTGACATCATTGCCAAATGAATTGGGCAACCTCACATCTTTGACTTCATTAAATATAAATGAGTGCTCGAGCTTGACATCATTGCCAAATGAATTGGGCAACCTCACATCTTTGATTTCCTTAGATTTAAGTGGGTGCTCGAACTTAACATCATTGCTAAATGAATTGCACAACCTTGCATCTTTGACATCTTTAAATTTAAGTGGCTGCCCGAGCTTGACATCATTGCCAAATGAATTGGGCAACCTCACATCTTTGATTTCCTTAGATTTAAGTGGGTGTTCGAACTTGACATCATTGCCAAATGAACTGGACAACTTCACATCTTTGACTTCATTAAATATAAATGGGTGCTCGAGCTTAACATCATTGCCAAATGAGTTGGGCAACCTCACATCTTTGACTTCCATAAATTTAAGTTGGTGCTCGAACTTAACATCATTGCCAAATGAATTGGGCAACCTTGCATCTTTGACTTCTTTTAATATCAGTGAGTGTTGGAAGTTGATATCATTGCCAAATGAATTGGGCAAACTCACATCTTTGACTTCTTTTAATTTAAGTTGGTGCTCAAGCTTGACATCATTGCCAAATGAATTGGGCCACCTTGTATCTTTGACATCCTTAAATTTAAGTGAGTGCTCGAACTTGACATCATTGCCAAATGAATTGGGCAAACTTACATCTTTGATTTTGTTAGATTTAAGTGGGTGCTCGAACTTGACATCATTACCAAATGAACTGGGCAACCTCACATCTTTGACTTCATTAAATATAAATGGGAGCTCGAACTTGACATCATTGCCAAATGAATTGGGCAATCTTACATCTTTAACTTCATTACATATAAGTGAGTGTATGCGGTTGACATCATTGCCAAATGAATTGGGCAACCTCAAATCTTTGACTTCCTTAATTTTAAGTGAATGCTCGAGCTTGACATCATTGCCAAATGAATTGGGCAACCTCAAATCTTTGACTTCCTTAATTTTAAGTGAATGCTCCAGCTTGACATCATTGCCAAATGAATTGGGCAACCTCACATCTTTGACTTCTTTAAATTTAAGTGGATGTCGGCACTTGACATCATTGCCAAATGAATTGGGCAACCTCACATCTTTGACTTCTTTAGATTTAAGTTGGTGCTTGAATTTGAAAACATTGCCAAACAAATTGCGTAACGTCACATCTTTGACTTCATTAAATTTAGATGGGTACTATAGCTTAACATCATTCTCAAATGAATTGCGCAACCTTACATCTTTGACTTCTTTGAATATAAGTGCGTGTTGGAAGTTGATATCATTGCCAATTGAATTGGGCAACCTCACATCTTTGACTTCTTTACACATAAGTGAGTGTCATGAGTTGAGATCATTGCCAAATGAATTGGGCAACCTCACATCTTTGACTTCTTTACACATAAGTCAGTGTCATGAGTTGAGATCATTGCCAAATGAATTGGGCAACCTTGTATCTTTGACTTCTTTAAATTTAGTTAATTGTTGGAAGTTAACCTCATTGCCAAAAGAATTAGTCAACCTTACATCTTTGACTTCCTTAAATTTAAGTGGGTTTTGGGAGGTAACATTATTGCCAAATGAATTAGGCAACCTCACATCTTTGACTTCTTTAGAAATTAGTGGGTGTTCGAAGTTGACATCATTGCCAAATAAATTGGGCAACCTCACATCTTTGACTTCCTTAAATTTAAGTGGAAACTCGAGCTTGACATCATTGCCAAATGAAATGGGTAACCTCACATCTTTGACTTCCTTAAATTTAAAAAGGTGCTCGAACTTGACATCATTGCCAAATGAATTGGGCAACCTTGCATCTTTGACTTCCTTAAAATTAAGTAGGTGCTCGAGCTTGAAATCATTGCCAATTGAATTGAGCAACCTCACATCTTTACCTTCCTTAAGTTTAAGTGGTTGTTGGAAGTTGACATCATTGCCAAATGAATTGGGCAACCTCACATCTTTGACTTCCTTAAATTTAAGTGGGTGCTCGAACTTGACATCATTGCCAAATGAATTGGGCAACCTCACATCTTTGACTTCCTTAAAATTAAGAAGGTGCTCGAACTTGACATCATTGCCAAATGAATTCGGCAACCTTGCATCTTTGACTTCTTTAAATTTAGATGGGTGGAAAAACTTAACATCATTGCCAAAAGTATTAGTCAACCTCACATCTTTAACTTCTTTAAATTTAAGTAGGTGCTCGAGCTTGACATCATTGCCAAATGAATTGGGTAACCTTGCATCTTTGACATCTTTAAATTTAAGTGGGTGTTGGAGGTTGAGATCATTGCCAAATGAATTGGGCAACCTCACATCTTTAACTTCTTTACATATAAGTAAGTGTTGGGAGTTGACATCATTGCCAAATGAATTGGGCAACCTCACATCTTTGATTTTGTTAAATTTAAGTGAGTGCTCGAACTTGACATCATTGCCAAATGAATTGTGCAACCTCACATCTTTGATTTCCTTAGATTTAAGTGGATGCTCAAATTTGACATCAATGCCAAATGAATTACACAACATCACATCTTTGACTTCATTAAATATAAATGAGTGATCGAGCTTGACATCATTGCCAAATGAATTGAGTCAACCTTATAGCTTTGACTTCCTTAAATTTAAGTGGGTGCTCGAGCTTGACATCAATGCCAATTGAATTAAAGAACCTCACATCTTTGATTTTCTTAGATTTAAGTGAATGTTGGAAGTTGACATCATTGCCAAATGAATTGAGCAACCTCACATCTTTGACTTCCTTTGATTTAAGTGGGTGTTGGAAGTTGACATCATTGCCAAATAAATTGGGCAACCTCAGATCTTTGACTTCCTTAAATTTAAGGTGGTGCTTGAACTTGATATCATTGCCATATGAATTGGGCAACCTTGCATCTTTCACATCTTTAAATTTAAGTGGGTGCTTGAGCTTGACATCATTGCCAAATGAATTGGACAACCTCACATCTTTAACTTCTTTAAATTTAAGTGGGTGCTCGAGCTTGACATTATATCCAAATAAATTGGGCAACCTCACATCTTTGATTTTCTTAGATTTAAGTGGATGCTCGAACTTCACATCATTGCCAAATGAATTGCGCAACCTCACATCTTTGACTTCATTAAATTTAAATGGGTGATCGAGCTTGACATCATTGCCAAGTGAATTGGGTCAACCTTATAGCTTTGACTTCCTTAAATTTAAGTGGGTGCTCGAGCTTGACATCATTGCCAAATGAACTGGGCAACCTCACATCTTTGACTTCATTAAATGTAATGGGTGCTCGAACTTGACATCATTGCCAAATGAATTGGGCAACCTCACATCTTTAACTTTACTACAAATAAGTGAGTGTTGGGAGTTGACATCATTGCCAAATGAATTGGGCAAACTCACATCTTTGACTTCCTTAAGTTTAAGTGGGTGATCGAGCTTGACATTATTACAAAATGGATTGGGCAACCTCACAGCTTTGACTTCTTTAAATTTAAGTGGTTGTTGGAACTTGACATCATTGCCAAATTAATTGGGCAACCTCACATCTTTGACTTCCTTAAATTTTAGTTGGTGCTCAAACTTAACATCATTGCCAAATGAATTGGACAACCTTGCATCTTTGACTTCTTTAAATTTTATTGGGTGCCCAAGCTTGACATCATTGCCAATTGAATTGAGCAACCTCACATCTTTACCTTCCTTATGTTTAAGTGGTTGTTGGAGGTTGAGATCATTACCAAATGAATAGGACAACCTCGCATCTTTGACTTCCTTAGATTTAAGTGGGTGCTGCAACTTGACATCATTGCCAAATGAATTGGGCAACCTCGCATCTTTGACCTCTTTAAATTTAGTTGGATGGAGAAACTTAACATCATTGCCAAAAGAATTAGTCAACCTTGCATCTTTGACTTCCTTAAGTTTAAGTGGGTGTTGAGATTTGACATCATTGCCAAATGAATTGGACAAACTCACATCTTTGATTTCCTTAAATTTAAGTGGGCACTCGAGCTTGACATCATTGCCAAATGAATTGGGTAATCTCATAGCTTTGACTTCCTTAAATTTAAGTGGGTGTTGTAAGTTGACATCATTGCCAAATGAATTGGGCAACCTCACATCTTTGACTTCTTTAAATATTAGTGGATGTTGGAAGTTGATATCATTGCCAAATGAATTGGGCAACCTCACATCTTTGACTTCCTTAAATTTAAGTTGATGCTCGAACTTGACATTATTGTCAAATGAATTGGGCAACCTCACATCTTTAACTTCTTTTCATATAAGTGAGTGTTGGAAGTTGACATCATTGCCAAATGAATTGGACAACTTCACATCTTTGACTTCCTTAAATATTAGTGGGTGCTCAGACTTGATATCATTGCCAAACGAATTAGGCAATCTCACATCTTTGACTTCCATAAATTTAAGTAGGTGCTCGAACTTGACATCATTGCCAAATGAATTGGACAACCTCACATCTTTGACTTCCTTAAATTGAAGTGGATGTGGGACGTTGAAATCATTTCCAAATGAATTGGCTAATCTTACATTTTTGAAAGTCATTGATGAAAAGAGTTGGATATCATTATCCAAAGCAATAATCAATGATTATTTGAGAATATATATTTTAAAATAGGTTTTAAATCAATCAATTATACACTTATATGTGAATAAGAAATGTAATATTAAGCCTAGATAGGATATTTTGAACATACAATAGCACAAAAGTAATAATAATTCTAAGAAGATAGAATTCAAATTTAGAATTTAGAATTTGGAAGATGAGATTTATATATTCTCTAATAAATAAATGGACTTTTTAAATCTATAATTTGAGCTATTTTGTTTTGGAGATCTACAAATTGAATGGTGGACTTATAATATTCTATTGGTTTTATAAATTTCAAATATAGGGCCATTCAGTGCTTCACTTTGATGATTTATGTTTTGCTTTGTCCTTTTGAAAATTTAAATTGACATATCTTTCTTTTAGTAATACTTTTGATTTTAACAATACATTTAAAATCTTAAGTAATTCTCTAGATTAAAAATTATGAATTTTAAAAAATATCTTAATAATATTTTAAAATGATCAAAGTTAGAGAATGGGAGATAATGATTTTAATCCACTAAAACATTGGATGTTCTCTCTTTCTAATATCAATGTAAAACTTCAAGCTTCAGTATCTCTCTCGTAAATTACAAACTTATATCCAAATATTTTAAGAATATTAAAACATTACTCAACCATAAACACAAATAATATTATTCTACTCTAACCAAAAAAATTCTTAGAACCAAAAGATCTAATTTTTGAGATCCTAATTTGTTTAAATCTTAATTAATTTTTTATTGTATCATCTAATTGTGTTCAAATTAAAAATACACATACACCACATATGTCTTCACAAATCCACAAAATTTTATTTATGAATTTGCTATAAAACTTACACACTTCATCAAAATAATTTTTTTTTATGTAATACAAAGAAGAGTGTGTCAAGAAAACCTAAATTATATAATAATATCACAAAGTCAATAAGCACTTAATTCCTCAAAACTAATGCTAAAATAAACTTTTTAAAGTTTTTTATTAGATAGTGCTTTCAATCAACAAACAAATCCCACATTTGTTGGTATATGGTTTTGTGCCTTAAGGACTAATTTTCACCTTGGTTCATTATCAGTCTTCTTTGAGCATCAATCTAAGACTTTTTAGGTAATTTTTATTAAAAATTACTCTTTATTTTTACCTTAAGATGCTATAATATTATTTTTGTTAAATTAGTTTATTTTGAGTTATTTTTTATCCTATAATATAAGTAGAAGATATTTTTTTAAAAAAAGTAGCATTAATTCTAAATTATTTTATTACCTTTTAAACTTTTATTTATATTTTTAATATAACTTTTTATTATAAGATCTTATATAATAAAATTCTTCCATTTGTCTTTTACTTTAAAGCCATACCACAACATAACATTGTTTATTTAATTGTAACAAGTTTTGTATAATTTTAAATAGATGATTGATTATCACAAAGTAAGATGTAAGAATTTGATAATTAAAAATTTGTAATGAAGTCCATTAAAAAAAATGATTGAAGGTTTTCAAAAATACATAGAAGTTGCAAAGTCTAAAGAAATGATATTATAGAGTCTTGATTCAAAAATAAGTATCACAATATTAAACAAATTTTTTTATTTTATTTTATATTTCATGCCACCAAATATTTTTATAAAAAGGCTTTTAAATTAAACTGTATTGTAAATATTACATTGCTAGAAAGTCATGTTATACTTGCAATGCACATAATAGTACTTAATTCTTTGGATTATATAGTCTTCTTTCAAAATAAAGAATTTTCTTTAAAATCAAATTTTTTAGAATCATTATAATGCTAATTTTTTGATAAAATAATAATAATAATAATAAAAATAAAATAAAAAATAAAAAATTGGACAAATTTAATTAAGAAAAGTTGTAAATCTAAAATTCTTATAATAATGGCTTAAAGATGTAGCTACTTTGATTTAATGAGAATATTTTATTGTGAATCATATGCAACATCTTCTTTTTTTTTAATGCAAGATAAGAATATCTTGACAAGGAATTTAAAATGCTTTATTCTTTTTAAAGAAAATACAAATAATTTAAATACAAATCATAACAAAGACATACTCCAAAAACCTTGATAATAGTTTAAAATATATGTTGATATAAAATACTTATAATTTATATGATTAATTAAATAAAATATTTATTTTTAGATTATAATTCTATTATTAAAAAAAATCATGAAAACTATAATTTTTAATTATATTTTTTATAATAAAAATTAATTCTTGAGAAGTTTTTAGAATGAAAAAAATAGAAAGAAATAAATCTATATTCAATTATTATAGATTTCTATTTAATGCAAAGTTTGATGTATTTATTTTAATAAAAAAAGACTTGGAAAAATCCAAGAAATATAAATTAGAAGTTAAAGTGAAATTTATTTTTAAACTATCTAATGCTCATTTTTTTATCTTAATTCTACAAGAAAAATTCTTAAAAATAAACAAAACAAAAAAAAAAAAACATAAAATATACAAATAGAATGAAATTCATCTATATTCAATCGTTATAGAACTAAATTAAATACAAAGTTATTATTGCATTTATTCCAATTAAAAGACTTGGAAAAATTTAGCCAACATAAAATATAAGTTAACGTGAAATTTATCTTTAAAACTTCTCATGCTCATTTTATTTATCTTAATTTTACGAAAAAAAAATCTTTAGAATTTAATTATATACATAGAACAATAATTCATAAATTCTTAAAAATTCTTGATAATTATTTAATAATATTTTAAAAATACTAAAAAAAAATATGAATCATGTATAGTTATTAGAGTTGTCTAATCTATAATAGTTTTTACTTTTTAAGATTTTTTTTTAAAAAATATCATAATTATATAATTTAAACTTTTTAAATCTATTATTAATAGATATGAAAGATATTAAATGATGTTAAAGACAATTTTAGATTCTTAATTTCTAAATGCTACTTTATAAGGCTAAGTTTCTTATATAAAACTTCTTAATTGGAAGTGGTTGTGGATTAATAACTTTATTTTTTAAAAAAAAATCTATAATTGAATTTGTGCTCTATATCTTAAATCTATTAGATTTGATGCTACAACCATTTTATTTTATGACATGATTCTCTACAATATAAATATATATTTTTACAAAAATAATTACCATTTATATCTTTTATTGATTGTTTGAATTGAGTTGAATTGATCTACAAATACTTTGGACTTAATGAATAGATATATAAAGATTTACAAGTTCTTGTCATAACTTAGATTGTCATTTTTTAATTAAATCTTTATACTTGGCATCTTCAAAAGAACTGATTGTTGTATAATACGGCTTAAGTGATGAAATATTCTAATGAATCTAATGTGGAAGTTTTCAACAATAAATCTATGACCTTGTCTTTTAGTTTATTTTAAGATTAATTAAAAAAATAAAAATAAAAATAAAACTTAATTGTTTTAATTCATGTCACAAGCAAGCTATTAGAGTTTTGCAATACATATAGCAATTGAATGTGATTTCTATTGCAAAGATTAGAGTTTTGTTAAATTGAGTATGATATATTATAAAATTTAAATTAAAAGAAGTCTTTTTTAAAAATTTAAATTTAAAAAACTCCTTTTTTAAACTTTAAATCTAAACAAAGCAAAGAGAAAGATAATGAGTGGTGATGGTCCACCTCTACTTAATCATTGTCCATCACTTTTGGAGATTTTGATAGAAGATTGTTGGAAATTCAATCTCAAATATTATCCAATGTTTTTGGAGATTTTCAAGGTATTTAGGTATACAAAGTACTTATTTATGACATCGTGATCAAGCTTGACAATATTGCCAAATTAATCAATGAATCTCACATCTTTCACTACCTTAAGAATAAGTAAGAATTTGCTGACCTCATCTAGAACCAGAAGCAGGTTCAGTCCTCTATCGAAAGCAGTTTGTTATTTTTATTCTTTTTATTTTTTCCCCTCTAATCCTGACTTTGATTCTTACAATGAGTTCTTAAAGTACTTGGCGTCATGCCATATGCTGTAATGAAACATCCATGCGTTAAAGAAGTGCGTGTGTATCTTACGACTCAATATCAGCTTGTTAAGTACCAAAAAAAGCTGCTTCACGAAGGTTCTAAATGACTACCTCAAGAGCTAAATACATACATGGTGACAATCGCGTACATATCTGTCTCTAAACAAATTAAGCAGCTCTGATATATGAACAATATTGTGGCAGGTCTACATCAATATTGAAAACAGAAAAAAGTGGAACTACAAGCGGGAGTCATATTAGAGGTTTCATAAACGCGAATGACCTACCAAAATCTGGTTTATCACCCAGGATTTTATGTGCGGAAGAAGCAAAGAAAGGTCAAGGGTTCCAACATTTCAGAGGCACTAGATTGTGCTTTCCTCCTACAGCTTGGATATGATAAATACGACACACAACGCCATAATGAGAAAGTTCCTTCTTCGAAAATCTGCAGTCACATCCACAGGTGTGTCTCAACATTTCAAGTTCCCGAGTGAGGGATTTAAGAGCTGATCAAACATGACAGCTTAAGCCTCTTCAAGCTCCACAAAAATAATCACAATTCTCACTCACGTATCAATAGGACTCACCGATTGACCAAGAGGCCGTTGAAGATTCTGGAATGGCTGGCAGAGCAACCGGAGCTGCACAAACATTTCAACGTTCAACTCGAGAGATTTGAGTCCCTATTAAACTTTAGTAATATTTTGAAACTTTTTGACTTGATCACGCGCACTGCTCTAGTGTACTCCGGGACTCAGGTAATAAGTCCTAGGCAGCCAATTCAAACAAAAATAAGGAAGTCTTGACATAGTTGAATTCAAGTTGATCAGTTCCTGCACTACGCATTCTCACACATTGGGTCAAATCAATCTGTTTGGCTGCCACAGTAGCTAACCAGAATTGTCAAAGTTTCGATATCTAAGCTCTTGTTCCTTGTATGAGAACAACCTTTAACAATCCAAACCACTCAATTAGGTCACGACGGACGAGAAACCTTACGTCGACCACACACAGAATATGCTGCATCAGTCTTGAGAGTTTGAACCCAGGGAGCCGCTATATTATCGTTTAAATCGCAGGTAAAGTCGATGCCTGTAACGTTGCTCATAATGTCGGAAGGTAAACTTGAAAGTAAACAACCTGCATGTGTGACTTACACTTTAACTGCCTCTCTCAAGGAAAACCAAATGCGCCACTGCTGAGTATAATGGATGTTCCAACACTGTGGATACCTAACATTACAGAATTAGCACAAAAAGAGCTACGAGCAGAAGTTGAATATGCCTGTAGTATTTTATGAAAGCAAGCATTTTGCAATGCACTACCTAATCTAAACTTATATAAGTGGATCGAAACTCAAAGTTAACTTGAAGCTGTACCTTGTCCACCAACTCCTGCTTGACAAACCATAGATACATACCAACATGAGATGCAACTCGTAAGAAACTATGCAATGTTGTGTCACAACTCAGCTCTCTATTACGATTAACACATAACGATCGTAGGAAATTAACATCTTTTTCCATCAGCAACGAAAGTAAAACCTAAGAGAGAGAGAAAAAAATATAAAAATATAACAAACAAACAAACAAACAAAAGAAACAATAAAAACTGCTTCAGAAAAAAATGATATCTTCAGATAAGATTGTGAAAGCAGGATGCGTGTGAAGATAGATATCAGAGCATGTAATAGTCAAGGAATCGGCTGCGGCAAAAATTTCATTCAGATCCACACTAAAATGGATCGATACTTATGGGTGCATCTCACTTGTTTAAACTGTTGCAGATTCTTAGAAAGCAATCCGATCCCCGAGACCAAAATTAAAGCATATCAACATTATACCAACCTTGAAGAGAGAAATCCTTAAGGTCGATTCCACACAGGGAGTAAATATCTGCAAAGACAGACATATTTTGAAGCATGGAAGCCAAGAATGTCACACAGCGGAGCGCTTGCAAATTAGTAATCAACATCTGCTGCTGAACCTCCAACAAGTATCCGTCTATGGCTCTGCAACAAGTCGCAATGGACGGCGTACTTGAGCAGCCACATGCTTTGGCAACAGGCATTGGATCTCTAAATTCCAGAGGACACTCTGCACATGAATGCTAGTAGTTTTCAGTGTATATCGCTACAAGTGAAGAGACACCGACGAGTTTGGAATTCCACCCTGGAAACTCACGACGCCGACTACAGTGTTAGAGAGCCAACTTTCTCATCTCGAGAACGTGGCGAACGAAAACGACAGTTTGATAACATCAATAATCGACTAAATTGTTAAGGGTGAGCTAATTATATCTAGTTTTAACTTCAAATTGGAGTATTTCCAAATGAACGGCTGCTTGTCCATTCTGTCCGGATATGTTCCTGCAAGCAAATTAAAAGATGATTTCCTGAAACAGAAAAGTGTGACACTTGGTGCTTCAGTTGTCAAGCCCTCCTTTGAAACATACAACCTCGATGAACATTCACATGAAAAATTCAGCAGACAATTATCACGTCAGCAACAGAGTACATAAAGGGTATAGCCATTACGAAACATCATTCCTCACCTTTGTTGACACGGCAGCTGATGAGGTTACGCAGCATGGTGTTCGCTGCATCTGGACCCAGCTTACTTGCCAACCATGCAAGGACCATGTTTTTGCAATCAACCACCACCTGCTGTTCACCTGACGTTTACATAATTTCAAGTGGATTCAATAGGAGTACACTAATTCAACGACAATGTCATTGTGAAATACTTGAAAAGACTGAAGGTGATATATACGCAAATATTGAGGGGTACAATTCACGAGATTTTAAGGGTTGACACAAATACGTGGACAACACAAAAAAAGAGAAGATGCGCGAATGTAGCTCTGTATTCTATGCTGATCCCCAAAAACCTACGTTATGGGTATACAACTTGGGAACCACCTAGATTTTAAGCAAAACACGTTCTCAGTGTAATTGGTTGGGGGAAGAAGGAAATTATGGCTGAGGTAGTTCAAGGACTCGAAGTAAAGAAACTCTAGACAGAGCTGCCATGAACCCAACCCACATACGTTCAATTTCAACAATAAGTCTCTCAAAATTAACATTTAAACTTGCAAAAATGCAACGCAGGTGTTGACATGCTGGAGCAAGGAACAATCGCACAGGGAAGCAGAGGTCAGAACCTGGTGGTACAGCACTGCCATTCAATTGACCTGGATCACCCACAAGCTGCCCAGCCATTTGAGTGGCTACGTCCATGACCTGAGATTGACAAGTAGGTTCTTCGGTGCACTCCTTTAAAGGGTCCACCGAATGGCATGCATCCAATAACTTAGTAGTATTTATCATCTCTTCCAGTTGGCTAACCTTGGTAACTGGACATAAACCACTGGTAAGATTGGCAGGTTGAGCAGCACAAAGATCCCCTAAGGATGTGTTGGCTCCCAAACTAGCCATAAGATTTTGGGTGTCCGAAAAGCAGTATTCAGCTTCTGTAACGTTCAGCCCAAGATTGCCCGAGTCTAGGCTGTATTGACCCAAAGAGACTTGAAAAAGGCTCTCAAGTTGTGGGCAACAGATGACACTTCCAACGTAGAGTGCTAGAGGGGCTGGACAATCTCCAGCAGTTCGAATAAGAGTCCCTTCTAACGTTGAAAAATCAAAAGGACAGAAACCTGTGGGACAAATCCAAAAAGCACTGGGATTGAGATTCTGATGCTCAACACGTTTTGGGCAAGAACTATTCGATTCCAACACTGAGCATCACTTGTGTTCACGACTCAGGGCAGCAGCTAAAGTAGTTAATAATCCAGATAATTGTTTTACCTGATAGTTCAGGCGTAGATGGATTGGTAATGACTGGAATCTCCAGTGGAGGGGGAGCCATGAATGGAAAAATTCCTGACGAAGCTTGTACGGGAGGTGACGCAGTTGGAAAAGGTGTTGGAGTGTCGAAAGTTGGAGGAGAGGGAGTAGGCAACTTTGAGGGAGTGGGAGACGAATCCTGAATGAGTTGCTGGCCGACCTCGATTGGGTTGCCATGTTGATGACCTATAGAGAATGTGCCTCGCAACTGACATAGTAGCCCCACGTCTGCAAGCAGCGTCGAATGTGTAAGTAAATTTCCTGAAACATTGAATCCGCTGCAATATCCCGATCATTTAGAAAACGTCAGTGTAATCTTGGACCCAATTACTAGCTGGACTACTCAAGAGAATGAAGCATGTGATATCTCGCTCATCCGTATGCTGTTACTCCGTGATCCACACGCCCGAAAACCGTTGTTGAAACTTATCATTTAAATTAAATAAGTTTAAGAATAGGAAGAGGAAGATGATGAAGAAAGAGCAAACTCAAGTACGCACAATGAAATGGAGATAAGCTTCAACGAACTTAATTGGTGGCTTAGCAGAATAAAATTTCGATGTAATGAGTTTCAAGATTTACCAAGGTAAGGATTTTATTAACTGGTGCAAAAAAATGTGACGAATTGCAAACAGCATGCATATGGGTTTTGAGAGGGATCATTTGAAAACATATCCTATATATTTGAGCTCAAATAGGATGTGTTCATTCAAGGGTTCACAAATTGAATAAAGCTTACAGAGAAGAAGCAGAGTGGACATCTGAGGCCTCCTAAGCCCAGATCGCCAACCCTTCATCCCCTTCATTTCCCACCTCACTAAATGAGCTTGCCTTCAATCACCACACGTGCAAAAATAGTGCTACGGGCATCTCATGATCATGTTCATAAATGCATGCGACCATCGCCACTCGTCGGCAGAGACTCGCCAATGAAATTATTCTGAGTACATCCATTCAACAGCAAGCCAATTCAATAAAGGTCATTTAATTGAGCATTTGCGTAAAGACTGGAAACTTGTATCCCTTCACAGACGAATTCAAATGTTCTGTACTCGGAGCTAAGGAAGAAGAGCTCGGAGAAAAATAAATGACTCCACTACTGTCGAACTAAGTTGTAACACCATGATCTAGGGCTTGGAGTAGAATTCGGGACTACATTTCAATTCAAACATCCTTTTCTTTTACCATCATGCTACTCTGTCAACAATCTTGATCTTGACCTGTCAATGGAAGCGTCAGCGACCAGCTTTGCAGACTCGAAATTAGGGACTTGCGCACTCTTCCTTATCTTGTACGTTATGCTCAAAGTTTGCAAAGGATCCACGCACAGCATTCGGGAAACTGCATCGTGTTAAATGCAGCTGAGTTAAGTCAAACTAAGCGGCAAACAAGGCAAACTACATGAGCATTGCCAGCTATTCTAGCAACAACCTCGAAATGCAGGAGAGGGAAGAGTTCAACTAACCATTATGAATTTCCGCGTTATTGCTTATGTCTCGCCAGGTGCAGAACCGTTCGGCGAAGAATGCACCTCGCAGCCACAGTTCACCCAAAGCAACACTATACACCTTAACAAAATGCAGAATGAGGTTTGACTAATTAGAGAGAGGCAGGGGGGGTTGGGGGACGGCGCGTGTAGGATGAAAGAAACAGAGACATGAAGCGCGACTTGTGAGAAAATGCAGGCGGTACCAGGAGAATAAAACACTGCAAGTGCAATGTTCAGGCATGTACACAGCATCTGGGTTTTGAGAAAACAAAGAAATGGCAGTCGTGGTGTCCTAGGTAAGAAAAGATGGAGTGAAGCCAGCGTAGATGAGAAGAAGAATATGGTTGTGAGTCAAGAAGGAGAGGGATACATGGGGTGGCAGGAGAGGCAGGGGCCATGGCGAGAAAGACGCGGCAGCACCACCAGCTACTGGCTCTGATAGGGAAGGGGGGAGCCAGAGTCATACATACAGTAGAAGAATTTGCAACGGAGAGGAGACGACAACGACGAAGAACACTCTTCTTCTTCTCCTTGTTTGTTTGAAAGCCCTCTACTGCACTCTCTGTCGTCATGGATGTTTTTTCCCCTCTAGGGCACAGCTTTAGGTGCTGCTACCCACTGCCAACTGCCTGTGCTGATTTCCACACCATGGACCGACCACCTCGCCGCATTCTAGGCTGAGAACCAAACGTATCACCATCCCAAGGTTGCTTCGGACCTAACCCAAATCTGGCCCCCTTCTGTTCATGAACTAACCCACAACTTATTTCCTTTCCAAATCCTTGTTTCTCTGTTCTTCCAAAACCGTGAGTTTTGAGATTTTTCTAATGTTTTCGTGGAATCTAGCTGCACTACCTACGAGCTTTTGAGTTTGGGTGTCAAATATGACTCATTGTTCTACTTGGACTGATAAACATGACGTTGTGACTAGTTACTGCATACTGACAGTCATTTACATACAAGAACAGTATCAAAAGAATCCCCAGTATAAAAGACGGGTTTTAATGTGTTCTGCAAAAAGCACTACAGAACGTATTGAACTGATTATCTATACTTGCATATTGTCTCCTATTAGATGTTATGAGATGTGGAACAGCTCCATTGTTTGTTTCATTGTTAATAAAACCACTAAAAGATAGTGAACATGTGGATAGTAAGCTTTAACATGTAACACTACAGTTGATTTGGGAGCTTCCAGAAGCATAATTTGTTTTGAGGAGGTCAAATGCTCTGACTTTCCATTTATGCCCAAATTAGAAGAAGAATAAGGAACAAGTGAAAATCTCTTCTCCTACAAGCAGGACCCATGATGAAGACCTTGAGTTGGAGATCTCATATAACAAAAGCACAAGCACCTCTAATCTTACTTATTTACCTTTTCCCAATGAATACTGCTTCCAATTCCGCTGCTGTATGTGTGTATATGTATATAAACTCTATCTCTCTTTGTTTTATATATATATATATATATATATATATATGAAATCAATATAATTCTCTATTACTTTATAATACTATGCTACTTTATAATAATACTTTAATTCTCTATTATTAAAGTATAAACCTTCTTATTGAATAATGTGTAGAATATTGACCAATTTTCGTAATTTTTATTTGGAGATGAGACTATAGTTATGAATGCTCTAACTACCAATTTATATATATATATATATATATATATAATCACATTATTAATAAAATTCTCATGCCCTAAAAATACATATTTGCATAAACAAATAACTAAGCTATTTACAAGAGCAAAGCCCAAAGTCAACCAAAAAACAAAGTTGTTGCTATTTTTTAGAAATCCTAGAATCTCCATAGTATTTGTGGATCATATACTTTGATCTAAAAACATGCTGGTATTACATTCTTATTTGTGTTATATATAGCTTCATTCAAAAATTCATTATTATTAAATTATTAGTGCACATATGATGCTTCCTCTATATAATTAATATTCTTTAATATTAATTGGATAAAGTATTAATAGTTATTAAATTGCATTGATTACCTTAATAAGTATTTTTGGCTCCAACATAATTAATGGCTCAAGTAGCTAGATCTTTGATATTTTATTTGGAAGCAAATATTGCAATCTTAATATTAGTAAACTCCTAGTCATTGATTATGTCAAAAAAAGCATTATCATGAAATATGAAGATATGTCAATTAATATTATGTATCTTCTAAAAAATAATTCAAATTTCATCGCAAAAAAATAATTTAACATCTTGAGCCTTTATATTGTATCAATAATAAAAGTTGATCTTACTATCGATCTTATATAGAATGCATATAGCTTAGCAATATGCTCAATAAAAAAACAAAGAGAGCATGTCTTTATTGGTGGAATTTACTAAAAATGCCACTATGATGCAAGTTTTTTTATTTTTTATTTTTTTAATTTGATTTATTTTGATTATATGATCTAACAATATTTAACAAAAAAATTAAGTCTTATTTACATTAAAGGTATTGAAAATTTATTTTTTAAAAGATTTTTTACAAAATTAGATTAAAGAACTTCAATAATTGTTGTATCAACTAAACTATTTTTTATTTCTTATTTTTTTTATTCAAATGTTTATAAAACCATATTATTTCTTTAAAAATAAAAAAAAGACCAATTAACTAAAAAATTAAAAAAGTTGATTTAATAGAATTGAGCTTAATTTTTTATTTATTGATTGATAATATCACTTTAACAAAATATATGATATACATAATATAAAATAACCCAATTAACTAGCTCAATATTTAGATGTAGAAGGATGACTTTGCATTAGTGCTTGGCTTGCAAAACTATGTCATTCCACATGACAAGATATTTTTCATGCTTAGCTAAAATAACCAAGATGGTAGCTTACTTTGGACCTTCTTCCAAACCAAGTTTATTCCTAAGCAATAGGTACATTGTTTTTTTGGTTGGATTAAGAATTGTTGACCTTGTATTTGCATAACTATTGATAATTCTTGTTTATAAAAACAATCCTTTTTATGATAAAAATGGTTGCCATTTCAAAGAACCAATAAAATATAAATTCACAAACCAATAAATGAACAAAACAAGAGTTTCACAGAAGAATTCAATCAATTGTCTAACTATTGAATAAGTGGTTCATTGGCCCAATATTATCTAAATATATAAACTATTTGTATGTATATAATCCCCTACAACCAACTCTATATGTATAGATAGTACTCACTGTAAGAAGTATCCAAAGTTCAACCTCTAAATACATTCTTGAGTTCTGTGGAATAGAAACCTCACTAGGAACAACATATAAAAGATCAAATTATGAGGAGCTGTACTGAACTATATATATATATATAGATAGATAGATAGATAGATAGATATATTTGAACGAGCTCTTTAATTGTGGCACTAAAGAGTGCAAAAATAGGATTCTTACCCCTCAAACTACCTACTACAATAGGTATCTCTGAAGGAATTAATTTTGGCAAGTTTTATATGTACGAGTATCGATTCTGTACATCATCAATGCATGCAGAAATTCAAGACACCCAGTAAACAAGATGACTAATAAGGCAGGTCCTTCTGAAAGTATGCATTTCGATTCTTTTGTCGAGGTGACCCATTTTCCATTTACCTCAAATTTGAAAGAGGCACTCAACTGCAAAAAATAATCATAAGAAACAATATCCATCTTGAATATGAATGGCACAATTTATCTAATTGCTACTGAAAAGGTGTTTGAACAAGAGAAGCAACTGAACACATGAAAACTTTGAAGAGCTAATTACCTTAGTGTACTAAAAAATTGCCATAGTAAGAGAATGAAGAAATAAAATATATGAATGTCTATGGTAAAAATAGCAATATCGTCTCAACCATCTATATCTCCAGAGGTTTGTTGTCCAATTCATCTGCTTCGAGTACAACTTATGGCAGGAGCTCTTTCAACAATTCCTTTGTTTGGATATGTTCATGAAAGATCAGTAAGTTCAACAAAGATCTTTACACCACAGAAATACGCATAACACTAGGCCCTCGTACAACACTTGCTGCACAGCACATTTGGAGGTTATTTGATTAGCCAAATGATGGCCCTAGTATTGCAACAACATGAACTTAGCACTTCATTGAATAATAGAGGTAAAAACCAAAATATTGAACTTCAAGATTTAACATAATATTCTCGTTGCTATTACTAGCGACCAAAGCTCAGCAATCGTTATTGTTGAAGAACAGCAAGTACTTGCTTAGTTACAACCACATAAAGTTTAAGCATGGTATTTTGCTAATAGTAAAAAGGTAGCAAAGAGGTGAAGTAAGTTATTGTGGTGGTACCGAGGCTTTAGTAAGATGAGGTAGAAACGGATGTAATATCAAATGGATGGAAGTTGCTTTGTTGGTGAGCAAACCACCACCTATAAGTAAAGAGTGTTGGAAGTAAGAATTATCTTTCTCCACACTTCTCTTAGAGTACAATCCTTGCTGATGCTAAGTGTTTGTAGCTTTTAGACTTCTTTTCTTCAATAGTTATGAATCTACTATTGTTTCTGCAAACAAACAAGAACCAAAAATGAGCCTTTCCCTAGATATCTTTACATTTAAAAAAAGTTTGATTGAGAACATCTTCAATTCGATAGGCTTGCACCTGCGAACTATACCTGCAGCAGAGTCCTTCACCTCCGACTTGTCCCCATCTCCATTCTTGCTATTTAAAATACCTACTTCTTCCACATCTGCACCCACGATCACATCACTATCGCTACTTTTCTTTCTTGTTTCAGCCACTTCGTTTTCTCCTTCATTGATTGCAAGGCCTATGCATTGCATTCCCAATTATGGCATGGAAATTTGTGAAGCAATCACAGCCTCCGATTTACAAAGACAAAATCGCTTGCTAGACATTGAAGGTAGTAGTAACATTCCCAAAAATAATTCTGTTACATTCCTTCTGATGTGGTTTGATAAAAAAATGTTGCAGGCACCTAACACACCTTACTGTGTGCACATTACAATCAGCTCAGACATTACTGAGACTTCACTCCTGAGTACCATCATATTTTGAAGCAGCTTGCTTCGATGATTAATACATTACAGATCAGTCATATGGAACATCTTCACTCCAGATTTAAGAAAAACATTTTTTCCAGCTTCTAACTATCATGATTGGATATGTTATAACAATGGATCTAATAAGTTTTAAACTTGTAAGTTTGTGTGTTCAGTTCCAACTAGACGTCAGCACAACCACGTGCTCTACTCTCACCCCTACCTTGTGCGTTATGATGTGTTTACTTTTCTTTCTCTTCTTAGCATTCCTCTCCTCTGTTGGAAGAGGGAAATAAATTTTATTTTCAACTGGTTGACCACAATTTGATGCAGCTGATGCTTTGATTTCCAGGCCATGTGATAGTGGATTAGGTGCGGTAAATTGCTCCTCAACAGCTACGCTGACATTCGCTTTTGCAGTTCTAACCTAAGGTGCTCCTCCAAAGTTTCGTAGCCTGAGGCATTAGCATTACGCAAACTCTGTTTACATGTAAAAAGATAAAACACTACTGCTTAGGAGGTTTCATTCCAGGCAAATACCACGTATGAGCTAAGACTTCTACATGAGAATATGCGAGTTACTAAACTAGAACGGTTCCACCTCAATGAAATTAGTTTTACAAGAGAACTTCTAGCAGATCTTCAACAACAGCTCTTGTGAGAAGTGCACAAGGTAGCGAAAGAGTAGACAGCAAAAAGGGCGACTCAGACCTCCAGTTCCAAGGAGGACTACCAGATAACCCAATACTCTGGTCTCATTTTCCAGCTTTCTGCACTTTAGGTACTTTGAGCTTTTGAGTGGAGCCATTACTTCCATTACTTCTCCTGCACCCAAACCAAATTAAGTTCGTGCCAACGCCCATGTTTCGGGGTCTAAAATTGTTAGAATTCCGCAACAACATGATCGCGAAAGGAATTAAACACACAGGAGCAACACAAACGAAGTTATCATGCGAATATCTCTACCTCAACTTGCAGAATTGGAAAAAGATATTAAAAACAAAAAGCGAGTCCAATGACTAAAAGGCCCTTGTGGTCACCGTGACACAAGACATGTGCTTGGACACTTTTCTGGTCAATGACGACCTCGTCTCCAATGCAGGATTTCTACAAACAGTAGAAGAGTCACGTTAGTGCAAATATCTGTCGTACCGTAATCGCACAGTGTTGCAGATTTTGCATTACAACGTGACAATTCAGGAAATACTCGGACACAAGAAACAGAGAATGAAACCGAAAAAAATTGAAGGAACTGAACAGTACTGGAGAAACTTTGCTTAAACAAGCCTGAAACAAACAATTCTAAATAAACCCTATTGATTGGTACTAGTTTACAACTCTTCTATGAGGGAATATTAATGAATTCAGCAATGAGTTTAGCACACCTGGATACATACTTACACACGCACATGCTTAGATGGACTTTAACCGTGTACTGAAAATGTACTACATTAAGTCTTTATTTTTAGAATTTCACACTAACATATAAGATTACAAACGTTAAAGACAAGGAGGTGCTTACTTTCAAACCTTTAGTCAAACTATTAGAATGTATTGATTAAATAATCACTAGGTTTAGGATATTTAAATTACTAGATTCATCATCAAAACAAAAAATAATGATTAAAAAAATAAGTTATTATTTAAATTTGCATAGACTAAAAGTAACTTTTTTTATATGTTGACTTTGTCTTTAACACGTTTATCTTTGTTTATGGAACAACATGCATTTAGTCAAACATTTAACAAAAATCCAATTAAAATAATAAAAATAATAATATTATGTCACCATTATTAAAATAAAGTAAACATCATTTTTTAATGTTTTATTGCACAAGCTTAATTTTTTTTAATCAATAGTTATCACAAAAAAATGTAATAAATTATTTATATTTCTATTTTCAAATAAACAAAATTCAATGCATTATTAAATTTGAACAACGCTGTACACAGCTTAGAAACACAACATTATCAAAGCATGCAAAGTTCATTTTATTTGATGAATATTTAAGGTTATCATCATAAGTTAACAGTATTTCTCTTACACGAATGTAATTAAATGATAAAACCAAGTCTTTGATTTTGTATACCACAATTTCACTAAGCATTTGTCACATAATTAGAGAAACAGAATCGTCTAAAATCCAGATTCATCTCATAAAGTTCAAAGATACAATGTGTATAAATCCAAGACTAAAATTCAAATAATATATTACTCTGAGGCATCAAAATCAACCTTCATTTTTCTTAACAGGTTATGAAAATTTATAACGCTACAGTAAAATATTTTTATAAAATTAATTATTTTAGTAAAATTAAATACTTTTATAAAATTAATCCCTAATCATAGTATATAAGATTTGTTAAAAAACTGAAACTCAAAAAAATATAAAACTGAAGATGATGTAGATATTTTTTAAACAATTGGAAAAATATAACTTTAAAAAACTCTTCAATAAAGAATTCAATTATACAAAATTGTGCAAAGGACTGGAATTTAATATATATATATATATATATATTAATCTTAATTATGCCAAAAAAATTTGGTAATATATAATATCATAATCTTGTTTTTTTACATAACACTATCATGTATATATAAATAAGGAGTTTTTAAAGCCACACCCCAATTTTGTTAAAATCACACCCCAATTTTGTTCAAGCCATACCCTAATTTTGTTCAAATCAAACCCCTTTCCCACCTCATCCCACCTCATGATCCATTTTTGTACATGTTCCTTGTTTCCTACATTGTTCCTAGCCTATGTTGTTCCCACCCATGTCTTAACACAACCTCCACTCCCACCCTGTCTCAATCCCACCTTTGTCCCCGACCCAACCCCAACCCCACCCTAGGTAAGTGATGTGTCACTTATTTGCAAATGATATTTTATAAACAATTTTTAAATCATTATTACTTACTTTTAGTATAAATAGGATAATTATATATAATGCATCTTACACACTATATTTGAAATATATATATATATATATATATATATATACGAAAATTCAAACACACTTCTCATGTTACAATATTTTTTATTCTCCTGCAGTGGTTGAAGAAAGATTCTTTTTGTCTACAAATCAAAGGAATTGCAAATAAACCTAAGGTCCCACTTATTTACCATTAAATAATAAGAAATACTTTCACTCAGCTTAATACCTTTGTGGTATCACTGATCTAGTACTTATTTTTGTTGTTGTTGTTGTTTTTTTTTGTTTTTTTTTGTTTTTTTTTTAAATCAATGCACTGTGATAATACAAATTCAAATCAAACATTACTAGATAGAGATTCATGCCTCTCCTTTGTGACTACAAAATATTATAACTTTTTTATGTTCATTGATTTTTTTTTTAAGCCACAAATTAAATACTACATTTAAGACATTCACTTTTATGAATAAATTTACAAATAAATTCAATTTAAAACTAATAAATATTTGAATAAATCATTTAGTGTACAGTATTGCATGCTCATATGAAAAATAACAAATTTGCAAAGCATTAACTGTAACTGAAAGTGTGAAGAAAAAGTGTAATTGGTTCAATGCCAAATTAATAATAATCTTCTTCTTCTTCTATTTTGTTGATGATCATTTTAATATATTGCTTAAAGAACTACAACATTATCCTTTTATAACTCAAATTATATATATGTACATATAATTAGAGACAAGTGGGCAGCAGAGAGGCAGAGATGGTGGCTGGGAACAAGGTTGGGCACAAGGAACATATACAAAATGGCTCATGCACAAAACAGATCATGAGGCAGGAAGCGGGTGTAGTTTTAACAACTCCCTCTATATATTCACTATGAAACTACCAAGTTAAACATTTTAATGTTTTTAACAACACTACTACAATCCACAACATATTTCAGCACTGGTAAATCCAACAAAGGAATCTCTGATGTCAACCTGCAAAGGCCACTCCAATGTTAAAAATAACCAAGAAGGATTTTCAAACTTGTTGTCTGTGTACATGTAAACACAAACTCAACTTGCCCAACACAGAGAATACATCACTTTCCCCATCAGAGCCCCTTCACAATTTTCCTCAATTGCAACTCCATTTACATCACCTACAATCTTGGTCACATATCACTAAAATAGTAGTAAAACAGCAAAATAGTTCCAGCCATTCCTCCAATGGACACAACCCAAATAATCAACATGAACTTAAGTACATACAACTAACCACACTTAACTGATTATATTTCTTCTGAAAATTTCTATCCCTTCCAACCGCAAAAATTTGTAGTCTGATTTGCCTGTGTAAGTTTGCAAGGAGGTCAATTCAAATAACAGTATATATATATATATATATATATATATTTCTATATTTCACTGTTCTAAAATAACAATGTAAAAACAAGCAAACACAAGTACCATTCCAATAGTATGTACCAATGCCTCATCTAGATGACAAAAAGCGCCATAAACTATCTAAGTTAAGAGTTCATATAAAAAACCAAAAGCAAACTGATCATTCCAGAGTGTATTTTGAAACAAATAATTTAAACCTCATGAAACAAGACAATTATTTGACTTGACGAAAAAAACCAAAAAATCCAAAAAACTCCAGAATATATATATTAAAAAAAAACCAAACATGTAATTAAATAACTCTGTAAATCACATAGAAATGCAAAACAAAAAAAAACATGACACAATTGGAGAAAAGTCAGTCGGTCAAACTTCTGTGATAGTCCAGCAACCCTACACTCCACAGGACAGAGGCCAAGGAGAAGAATGCTGTGAATGAAGTGAGCCTTCCTGGTGACACAACCCTAATAGCTAATCAGACTCTTTTTTTGGGACAGTGCACCCCCTCAAGGCCAACCTGCATAGCTAAGTTACCTCTTGATCATAGACTTCCAATAATATTCCACTCCAATGTTCCAGCTTCCCTGACTCAACCCCCATAGCTACTTCTACAATTTGTGCAACATGCAAAGCTTGTGCTAAGGCCGTGTGAAACAGTGATGGTGCAGAGCAGTCTTTGTGGTTGAGAATGTGTTGATCTCTTGGCATGTTGACAATGTTTGTGGAGAGGGGGGGGGGGGGAGGCATTGGTTGAGGGGAGAGAGTAAATTATAGAAAGGCAGTGGATGGGGGGGGGGGATATGGGGATGGGAGTGAGGGGGGACAGGGGCAGATAAGGACAGGGGTTGAATATACCAGACAGCAGCACAGCATGGATGCTGCTTGCTGATAAGGATGACAACAACACCATCATCCCCTCTCACCAGGCTCAAATCATTCCCCTATTCCCTTCTATAATAACTGATAGAGTATAATATCAAGAGAGCCCGGGGCGAAGAAAGGAACAGCAGCAGAGTAGTAGTAACCAGTCTCAGTCTCAGGCACACCCTGGCGCACAACGACAAACTGAGTTCCCCCTCCCTGCTTGCCCCCATTGGTGTACCGATCACAATCGTCTTGTGTAGCGTTGCTCGTAGCCTGCTGTGGTTTTCCTTTAGGTTTGTCGATACGAGGCTGGCCCTGCGTAACTTCTAGTCTTGTCTTGTCTTGTCTCGTCTCGTCTTCTCCGCTTTCGCATTCGCATTCGCAGCCCGACTCCAGCCACCGCCCAGGCCCCGAGGGTCGTGTAGTTTAGGCTAGGCTACGCTACGCCAGGCTAGGGTGCGTGCCCTGCCTGGTAGCTGTGACGACGACACCCCCATTACGGGTGACTCCGAACACACCACCGAAGCATCTTGTCTACTCCACTCCCGTCCTCTTCCTCTCCTCTAGGGTTCTCTTAAACCCTCGCCTTCCCTTCCCCCGGTCACTGCCCAACTGTCTCTGTGCGTCTCTCCCCCGCTCTCGTTCTCGCCGTCTCATCTTCCTGCTCTTCACCCCCCCCCCCTCATCGCAGCCCCAGCACCATGGCTGCGGCGCTGAGCTCGTCCTGCTCGCCCGCGTCCCGCTTGTGTGGCTGTGTGTCGGTGGGGTCCAGCCCTGGGTCTTCGAAGGTTTCGCATGTCCAATTACCGCATTCCCTTCGGTCTGCGGAGGTGCAGGCCCTCGGAGCTGTGAATTTGGCGCCCGCTTCTGTTTATCGTCGCCGGCCTCTCGTGGTGTGCGCCAGTGCGGCGGCACCAGTGTCCGTTCCCGAAGGTGCGTGTCTTCTCCCCGCTCTCTTCTGTTGGCTGGTCGCTGTCCCTTCCTGCGAATCTGTGGAATCTACAGGGACCTGTCGTTGAGCTAAGGAATTGGATTGTACAGTCCAAGCTTCTTTGTGGAGGTCCTGTAGTGAAGCGATTCTGCAAATTCAAGTCGGATGCTCGTGAATTGTCCAATCGTTTTTTGTTCGTGAGGGAAGCGCCTTGCATCTCCCAACATGCTTCCGGCGTTTATTTCGCAAGTAGCTGAGCTTTCCGAAAGAGAGCCGCCGTTGATTGCGACGGCAGCGTGGCAGCAGGGGGTGTCGTGTAGGGGACGAATCTCGTATTGAACATGGGCGCTGCCAGAGGAATGTTGGGCGCGCAAGCTGCACCGCCGATTGAATTTGTGTGTGGACGGTCGCAGTCTTTGTGAAGAATTGGGAGTGAAAAGTCGGGAGACATTTTGGAATGAGGGTTCGTGCAGAGGATTGACGCAGTGCACACTAACATGAGTTACTCGGTTACACGCTTGCAGGAGCTACGCGATTTGTCGACCCTCCGTTGTCGGAAATCGACCCCGATGTGCACGCGATTATTGAGTGCGAGAAGCGAAGGCAGTTTCGGGGCCTGGAGCTCATCGCATCGGAGAACTTCACGTCGCGTGCGGTCATGGAGGCTGTTGGGTCTTGTCTGACGAACAAGTACTCGGAGGGCTTGCCTGGCAAGAGGTGTGCTGATGAGTCTGTTTGACGCTTTCTCACAACATGACGCTCTGCCGTAGTGTATCGTTCAGAGTGGACTGTGCAATGTTGGAAGGATCGCGTTCGGCTGTTTTGTCATTGCTTGCTTGTCCCGGTTGTTCGGGTGCTCATGGGGTGCTGTTGAACGATGCTAGTGTCATGGATGGGTTGTTACAACAGCGTCGATAGGGACCTTGGAAGTCCGAGTTACAGCACGGGTAGCACAGAAGGTGCTGAATTCTGGGAATTGAGCTGAAATGCAGGTATTATGGTGGGAACGAGTACATTGATCAGAGCGAAAGGTTATGCCAGCAACGAGCATTGACCGCATTCCATGTGGATGAAAAGGAATGGGGAGTGAACGTCCAGCCACTGTCTGGGTCCCCGGCCAACTTTGCAGTATATACTGCTCTTCTTCAGCCGCACGATCGTATCATGGTATGGCACGACGCCCTTGTTGTGCAGATACAGCTAGTTGTTTGGTACGGGAGGTGTTGGAGTATGGTTTCGTGTGGAATCGTAAGGGGTGTTGAGTTCACACGCAAGGTCGAGAACATTGGATGATGTTGTGAAAGTGGGTGTCTATGATTTGATGAGCTTCGTCGGGGGTTTCCCACACATCTGTTGTGTGAGTTCCTTGGAATGTTCGGGCAGGAGGTGAAGGTACATCTAGTATAATGACTGTGAGGAGCAAGGGCCGACCAGGTTTCAATGTTCCGTACCGTATGCCTAGTGTTTTCATTGTCATCACTGGCATGGAGGGAAGCACGCATAGTCATGGGTGATCCGTGAAATCACACGGGTGATAGCAGTCGGATATCATATTCCAATGTTTGAGGGGTATGCTGTGTTAGTATTTTGTTGGGCGTGCAAGCAGGAAGTGAACGGATTGATCGACGTGCATGGTTTGGGGGTTCGGGTTGAGGGTTTGTGATTAGCATATTGGTGGGATGTGTTGCAGGGGTTGGACTTAGCACATGGAGGGCATCTGACGCACGGGTTTATGACCCCGAAGAGACGGGTGTCTGCCACTTCAGTGTACTTCGAGTCAATGCCGTACCGCCTGAACGAAACCACGGGTAAGTTGGACGTGAGAAGTAGGTGTTTTGCAGAGAGATGTGCTGCAGTCTTTGTCGTGGAAGAGGAACCCACCCTCGTCGAGTTTTCCAGTTCAACACGCTGATGAGAGGAGCAGAAGCATGCGTTGGGGTTAGTTGGAGGTCCTGTTGCCGTCGTAGTTTTGTGAGTGGAGGCGGGCACATGTTTTTGACTGGTCGTGCATGGGAACGAACAGGACTGGTGGATTACGATATCTTGCAACAGACGGCCTTGTTGTTCCGGCCGAAGCTGATCATAGCGGGAGCAAGTGCTTACGCTCGTGATTTCGACTACCCACGTATGCGGAAGGTAGAATTCGTACCGTGGGTCCGCAATTTGGAGGTTTGGTGTGAGGTGGAGCGGGGAGGGCAGTTGTGCGAGGGATGTGTCACATTGTGTGAGGCATGAGTTTGTAGTGGCAGTGAATGGCGGTGAAACGATGCAACAGACGTACTAAAAGTGGGTTGATGGTTTCCGGGGTTTGGGTGATGTAGATTGCGGACAGCGTGGGAGCTTTTCTGATGATGGACATGGCCCACATTAGTGGGCTTGTTGCAGCCGGTGTTCTAAGCAACCCGTTTGAGTACTGCGACGTCGTGACCACCACTACCCACAAAGTAAGGCTGGTGGTGTTGGTGGTGCAAGCAGTGGTGCCTGTTTGATGGGTTGCTGTCGCGTTTGATAGAACGTTGGAGTGACATGTCAGGTTTGCATGTTGGAGTAAGGCGTGGATTGTGGCAAGGGGGTTTGAAAAGTTGAAGGGGTTGTCGGGAAGGAGGTTGAGGGGACAGTGGTCTCGACGTTGTGGGCTGACCGTGTGTGTTGTTGTGTGCGGGGCAGTCTTTGAGGGGTCCAAGAGGAGGGATGATCTTCTACCGGAAAGGAGAGGTGAATGGAATCGATCTGGAAAACGCCATCAACAATGCTGTTTTCCCGGGTCTTCAGGTGCGTAACAGAAGTGGAGAGTATCAGCGTAAGTGGAGTCGAAGAGGATTAGTTGGGGGTGGTTCCAGCTCTGGCTTGCGTATCGTGGCTGGAGTGTGATGGTCGTCGATACTTGATACACGACGACGGCGTGTTGTGGTGCAGGATGTGTGGCTTTTCTACTGGGTTTGTGTGGTGATGGGGTGTTTTGTGCACCGGTTGGCCCAGTAGTATGGGGCACGAGTGCTGTCGCTTCATGGATGGCTACGTGAATGATCGCCGGTGTGACGGGTGTTGTGTGGTGTTGGCATGGTGGACAGGGTGGTCCGCACAATCATACCATCGGAGGACTCGCCGTATGCCTGAAGCAAGCTGCTACCCCAGAGTTTAAGACTTATCAACAGCAGGTATGGCTGTCCACGCAAGGAGTGGCGCGTGAGAGTGTTTCCGATTAACCGGTGTTTATGTGCGGGAGCCTGAAATATTGGGCTGTGGAGGTGTTGATCTTGTTGGAACATGTGGGCAACGTGTAGTGCTCGATGGCGGTATGCGTTGATGCGAGTGTTTTTATGTTGTGTGCAGGTTGTGAAGAACTGTCGTGCTTTGGCAGATAGATTGATGGAGCTGGGGTACAAGCTTGTGTCAGGAGGGACTGACAATCACCTGGTGCTGGTTGACCTCCGACCCATGGTAAGTGTGTGATGAGAGTGACGCGTGGAGAGCGCCGAAATGTGCATGTTTGTGTGCCGCAATGCGTGTTACGCGTTGCATGAGGAAATGGTGGATTGGGAGAGTAGGGTTTCACGGGAACAAAACCTTGCGTAAGGTGGTGGAGTCGGTTTTAGAGAAGTTTGAAGTCGGGGTTTTAGGGGCGAGCGTTTGCAGCATCGTCGATGAGGTTTGTGCAGAAAGGAGTCGGGAGCGAATGTGAAGTGGGGAGATATGTTTAGCCATGTGATGAAATAGGCGAGAAGGACCGGTGGTGTTGTACAGTTGCACTGCTTGTGTGATTGCTTGGTAGTTTCCGACTCTGAGCTGTTGATGGCATTGGCAGGGTGCTGATGGTGCGCGGGCAGAGAAGGTGCTGGATTTGGCATCCATCACGCTGAACAAGAATTCTGTTCCTGGTACGTGTGTAGCCTAGGGTTTTTCGTGGCGTGAGTAGTGAGTTTATGTTGGTGGGTTGAGGGAATCATGACGAAGCAGGTGATCATCTGTGTTGTCGGAGAACGCGAACTAGAGCCGTGATCGATGTGGAGGTCGGATGATAACCGCCGGGTGCGGGAAGGTGCATCTCGACACAATGTGGGAAGTGTTGTGCATCATAAGGGTGGTAACAACGAGTTTGGTTATGATGAACAGGAGACAAGAGTGCGATCAACCCCGGTGGAGTTCGAATTGGCTCACCGGCTCTTACCACGCGAGGTCTTGGGGAAGCGGAGTTTGTGAAGGTGGCAAACTTCATCCACGAGGGTATCCAAATCACAGTGAAGGCAAAGGAGACGTGTCCAGGGACGAAGATCAAGGATTTTCTGGAGTACGTGGAGTCGGAGAGCTGCGAACAACGTGGTGCGATTCTGGATCTACGAAAACGGGTTGAAGCATTTGCGACCCAGTACCCCATCCCAGGGGTTGGCACAGAGAGTCTGTCGCAACATTGAGGCGTAGGTTATTGTGCAGTTTTTGGTGAGAGAGTTAGCAGAGCAGAAAAGCTCCGTGAAGGAAATGGCATCCCTTGGCACTTGATAGAGCAGGACGTGATAGTCGCCGGGACGGGTGACCCTCGCTGATTCAGCTGTCGGCTTGAGAATGGTTGCGCTCGTGGGGGAGCTTGGTAGTGGTGGTAGTTCGGACACAAGGGGAGTTGCGAACAATGAGAAATTCGTACATGTTGGGTGCAGCATTCGTTTGGAGAACAGCAGCATGTTCAATGGTAGCGCTGTAGAGTAGTGACGAGCATATGGTTAGGATGCGGGTTCTGGGGGAGTTCATGACCTCGGCAGTGAACTGTAAGCCGCGGGGATGGGTTAAGAAGTGGTCGGGTTTGATTCAACGTTTGGTGGGGATAGCAAGTGTCCGTGCAATAGATGTGTACGCAGAAGGGGCTCCATTGCATCTTCCATGTAAATTGCATGCGGATAAAATAGTTGTTGCGTGCGGAAGGGGGTCACAGTTTGCTCCCAGCTCCTGGCAACCAGGTTGTGCACCCCACGTACATTTTATGTCAGTTCTTTGCCAGTCACGGCTCGGTTCGTACGGATGGAACTTCGTTTGTAGTGAAAGGAAGAAAGGATGTTACTTAGTAGGAGGTGTTGTTAAACCATGTTGCAGTCGAGGGACGTGTAGTTCTGACTATGATATACTCTTCTTTTTCGTAAATGTTTATTCGATGCATTTCTCGATCTTGTGGATGCATTGGTCTTCGTCGAATCATGACAGTTTGTCGACTTTGAAATGTTTAATTTTTTTTGTAATAAAGGTGGATTTATTTTGTTACTGTCTATTCAGGATGTATCATCCCTGAATGTACTTGCTTTTCGATGGTAAACGGTACTTTTTAACAGTCTTAGCCGCAAGAAAGAGTCTGGTCAATTATGATTGGGGGAATAGTTAGTTCGGGTAGTACTAAACGCTCAAATAACAGAATTGAAGGTTTCGCCTTACGCCGTGATATGTGAACCTGTTGTGCGATATAATCAAACAAATATCTGATTTTATGAGGAAAAAGAAATAGTTGATATGGGCGGAATTTCATCTATGTCAGAATATCTTAGGCATTATACTTCTCATAAAAGAACATTTCAAGTTAGTTTTTATCCTAAAATTTTCAATATCTTTCACGAGTCCACAGGAAAGTGGTTCATCACTAAGGTTGCGCTGAGTTTAGTTGATAGTGGTAATAGGAGTGGACTATTCTTTCAATGAATTTTCCGGTCTTCAGTGTGTGCAATGAGAAGAAAGACTCATTACTTGCAAGGCGAGCAGATCTATGGGTCACTAGTAGAGGTTGCCGTTTTATCGCGAGACAACTCTCATGTTCATACATTCTTGAACATCCACATTGTGATTTCCGTAATGTGAGTCTGAAACCAACTTCTTCTACCTAATTCATCGCTGGCCAGGCGCTACCGGCCTTATAGTATGTACTGCGAAACATATTCGATGGGTTACCACCATAGCGAAATTGTAAAATTTACTCTGAAAATGCAGTGATCGTTTTGTACCTAGATATGCGTAAATGGTACAAGCAAATTTCCTTCTCAGGAAACTTGCAGGGTATGAGCCATGACCAGGGCACATCTCGCAGTATGATGTGTAACTTCACATTTCCTGCAATACCATGTGAATTTCCATCAGAGACCATACACATACAACAGTTATATACTCATGGAGCAAGCAGTAGTTTAGGGGTTGAGATTGCAGGCTTACATCTTCGCATCCAAAGTATTAAATGCTACTTGAAAGGATCTGCAGACCTCTCTCAAGTGTGCGTCATGACTTGTATGTGTCTCCAGAAAAACCTAGTAAATCATCAACGGTCATTTAAGAGCATGCCATGATTAAACACTTGTCTCACAAAACTTCCATTTAAGACCATGCCATAATTAGAATAGCGTGCAAAGAACCCCACCTGAAAAGCACCCGCAAGTAGAACTTGTAATACATGGGGATCGAAGCTCTTATGTAGGTTAACATTTGAAACGCAATCGAATAGGTTTTTGGGGGTGGAGATCTCACGAAGTTGCTTCTTTGTGTTCTGAACCCAGGACCCCACCATTTTCAGAGTTTAGTAATTTCAATGAATTCAAAAAATTAAGATAAATCCAACACATAGATCTTAGACTAATAAAGTGAGATACGTCGAGTTTACCCCTGGAGCATGAGTGACGAGGTATTTGAGGATCAGATTGAACTTCAATTGCGGATTTTCCAGCGTCTGCATAGCACACATCATCTCGCTATCAACACCACCACGCATTGCTCCCACACCAAGCACCGTATGCTAGGACCATCATATTAGTGAGGCTGAGACTTGACTAAATATTTCAAGTCTGGAGTTGGAACACGATATACAAGAAGTAAACAATTCACTTGCCATGGGACTGATTACCATCAAAAAGAAGACCCTTAGCCTGTTTCGAAGATCCATGTACAAAGTTTTCCCTAATAAAGAAATATGGCGTATAAAAGATGGAAACACATCGAGATAGGTAAAGCCTTCAACCTGAAGAAGTGGACAGAGATATACTTTCCAATATTGCAAGATACCCATCAGAATCTCCACAGGACTCCATCTGTTTAGACAGCAGCCACATTGAAAACGTTTACTAACATTACGAAATCATCTTTGACGTAGTTATCTGCTTCCTAAAAGCTATGAACATCCGTAAGAGGTAGAACAAGGTGCAAAACTCTTACATCGAGACACTCCTTCTCGCAGCTCCAAATTTGCTGTCACTTAAAGCCTTAAAGTCTTCTAGTTCAAGAATCTGTTACCCAAAGCTACCAACTCACTTGTAAGAGCTCGTCAATAACTATTGCTCTAGAAGATGTACTAATACAATTTAATAGTTCCAAACATTGACGATGGCAAGTAGCAACTACAAACTGTAAAAAGATGAACTCGTAGTAATTAATCTACCCAGACATAAAAATGCTAATATCCAACTACAAAATAGACGAAGATTCAAGACAAAAAAAGCATTTGGTCATGATCTTCATTCACCATTGACAAAAAAGTAGCAGCTAGGTGAGCGAAATCCGCATCTGTGACAGAAAATACAGGGCTTGAACTGGCAGAGGGAAGCAATGATGTAGTTGGGTCAACTCCTGAATCAGGTCGTTCTGGCTGACCTCTAAGTTCTGGAATTCCATCATTCAAATCATCCAGCTTATCCACTCTGGCTATTAGACGCAGGAGATTTGTGATAAGCTCCTTAATTTTTACATTTTTTTGCCCCTGCATCATAAAAATGAGTTTGAAACGCTAAGAAAACAAACAAGATTTGATGATAAAAGAACAGATTCAGGTACGTTTGTAACTGATCCTCTAGTGGTTCTAAACCACGTTAAAAACAAGTATGAAATAAGAACAAAAATAATAGAAACAAATTCTGATATACTGATAGACCCACAGGTTACTTGAGAAAAGATCCCTCTAACAACAGGCCAGCGAAGTATGAAGCATCGACTAGAAGAAAGAAGGCACAAACCATCAAAAAACGAAATATAAGAGATTCTTGAACCAGTTCCGAATTCTCTGGATTTCCTGCACAGTTAAATGGCAATTAAAAATCTTCACACTTGCCTTAGCTTTAACAACATAAATGTAGGGTCTCTGAAAGACTAGAATGCACATCGCAGAGAAAAGTGCAAATAGACTACACTGCAACTCGAGAACAAGTGCGACAACTCGGATGCCAATGTGGAGTTGAACCTTCAAAAAAGCCTGATAGTAATAGCTGATGAACCTGCATTAGTTTAACATGCAGTAAAACTAACCGTCTAACTAAAACAGCGACACATGTGGTCAAGACTAAGCACGCTAATACACAAAGGTACCCATCTACACCATAGTGTGCGCTTTGGAGTTAAAGACCTTGAAAAGCCTGATGACGTACTCGCAGGTCAGACTCAAAAAGACTTACTAACCAGCGCAGCATCAGAAACTGCACCAGTCTCTGTCAAGAGCAATTTAATTTTCTCAGCAGCCATGAACAGATACTTGGCTTTATCAAGAGATATGACATTGTTAGGATCGCAAACAACTGGCTGAAAAAACAAGTTTGAAACTGATATATGATTATTATTATTAACTTACATTAAGTGGGTCTTCATTTTTAGAAGCAGAGTCAACACCAAAATCTCCTTTCTTCTTTGATTCTTGCCGTCCATCAAGTTCGTCGGCGATGTTTTCCAACAACGAATAGAGGTCCTACAACAACCACCACCACCAAAAGACTTTAACATACTGATCCATGATAAGTCAAGCTACAAATGCTTGAAAATTAAGAGAAGTTCGCATTAAACTACGTCTAACTATTGATGGAACTTCCTGCACTCGAACACTTACAGTGGTAACCCTGGTAAAGGGCTTTTCGTTAGCTTTCTGAGTTGCAAACTTAAAAGGCGACCATACTTGCTCCTGCCATTTAACACATTCCGACAACTACATCAGATGATCATAGCGTGGTCGAGGCGTGTTCGAGGCGTGTGTCCCGAGAGTTAACGTACAAGTGTGGCAGACGCACCAATCCGAAAAAAGTGCCGAGAAGGTGGTCTATCTATAGACAATATTAATAATAAAAAAAATGGTATTACCTTATTGTCTACAAGTTCGTACACTTTGCTTTTCCCAGCTCCAGTAGCCTTCAAGGTGACTTGTGGATGACGCTGTAAGAAAACGTTACAAAAAATAAAATGCGAAACTTGGAAGGAGTAATTCGGGGGAAGAAATATTCAGCTTATAAGAATACATAAATGAAAGAGTAGTCATTCCACCCCAAATTAAAATACACTAACCAGATCGAGGTCATGAAGCAATCGGTAACTAGCCACTATCACCCACAAAGACTTTGTTTCTTGTATGCCGGACAAAATTTTCTCATAAACATCCCTACAACCAAAAGTACAAGAGCAGCAATGTTTCATCAAACACAGAAGATAGAAGCCAATGACTTGGCATCGTGCTCGGACAACGTTAAAAGACCATACAGGGGGGGAAGGGCCAAGTTCACGTTAACCTGCATACCTAGCAAATTGATCTGTATCAACAGCAACTCAATGCGTCAAAAAAATAAGACTATTAAGAGACATCGCACAATCCCAAAAACAAGATGGAGTTGGCAGTTGATAACGTACTTAGCCGGAACCACAGCAACATCTGGTACAACAGACATCACCCGAACAGTGTCCAGAAACAACAATTCTGTGCACAAATGCGCCACATTATTCCACCATTAATTCAGATAGTCTGGAACCAAAATTTAGGGTGGAAGAAAAAAGGAACTCTTACGATCGGCATCCACATGAAACCCTCTCTTGATGCCAAGCGTATCAGTGAGAGCAAGGACGTTCGTCGTTAGTGAGGCTCCCATAACCCTTCGTTCCTTCCCTACTTCTTCATCTCTGTGCGTCGACGCAGCACTGAATAAAATCGTGCTCTGCTTGGTGGGTGTGACCTGAAACACGATCAATGAATAGGACAATCCATCGGCAAGTAGGTGGCAAACATCGCAAAATTGTTTTAAGACTTGTTGTGGTGCAATAGAAAAAGAATCATGTACAGCGAGATGAGGAAGTATTGGTTCCGTGATAGTACCGAGACATGTGGCGCTGGTGCAGAGCTTCTGGTGATGTGCTGAGTACGTCACAAATCTAATTTCAAATTAATTTGTACAAATGTCCAAAAATAAAGTCTTCCCTGCATAACTAGTACAATCGGCAAAAGAAGGGAAAACATCACATGGAGGTGTGGAAATTTATGGTGATACCCGAGCACGGGACCGGGTGGCAGGTTGAGCAGCAGTCTCAGTAGATGAAGGATCGTCGGGGACAGCAAATTTCTGCTTTTTGCGAGGCATGACGAAGTTGTGCCGAGATAACGCCCAGATGCGGCGAAGGGGGGAAAACCAGAAACGAAACCAGACGAGAAAGATCTGAAGGGTGCTAGGGTTTAAGTGAGCTAGCAGTGTGGGAAAAGGAGGATGAAGAAAGGAGCTGGTGGAAAGATCAACCTCCTGCCCAAAAATACCCAAGGACACTAAAACTAAGCAGAATACTCGAGCACAAATGATGACCCAATTGAAACCAGGTACCACCCTGGAAGCTGCTAACCCAAACGACAAACAGTGATTCACAAAAAACGGATGTGATGAAGGGTTCTTGCAAAGAGGCTTCACAAATGAAGATAATTACATACTACGAACTTAGTATAACTCCAGCTAAAATACCACGTTCCGAATGCCAAAGGAGTACCGGGGGCATCTGGGTCATTGGACGTTATGCAGCCTCCCAGCAGGGCAATAGATGATGCGCGCCACCGCGGCATCCTAGCTGCACATAGAGATTAGGGCACACTCGGAAACGGGTCCACAACATTGCCGATTTCGAAAGCTGACGGTTGAGCTTGAGGCAGAATTACAAAGCCCAAATTCCCGAAAACTTTCCAACTGCTAGAAATGAACCCCAAACATCAAATCGCGTGTCGATTACCGATGTATAAATACGATCTACAGATATATCCAGAACTATTGTACTCAAATAAATAGACATTTCAAATCATTCAAACTTGAAAACAACAGAACATTCAATTCACAAGTCTGTAAAATTAAAACAGAGTAAAAAAACACCACAAAAATAAGAGCACAAACCACCACAATCAAGATAACCAATATATATGTGCATCACTTCAGTTAAAGAGGAATTCAACGCCATTCATCACACGAATCGCGCCCAAAAGTAAAAATATAAACTGCACGTAGTATCCTGGAATAATCCAGATAGCCAAAGCCATAAGAAAGGCTTTCTGGCAGAGAAAAGCTATCCTAGAAAAAAATGCACAACTTTAAAAAAAAAGCAAAGAAAAGAAAGGGGATAAATTAAAAGAACGTATCCAAAGAATTCCACCCAAAAAGTTCAGGACAATCCAACAAATCAACCAAAAATCCACAACAGAGGAAGTGCTCCAAATACATATGTCAGAGTGGAAAAAAAATACACGCTACATAACAAGAATCACATACAAAAATCGAAGACAACAAAAAGATAACACCCTATATGAAGCCTTAAACAAAGAGCGTAATCAGACATCATATAAAAAACAAAGGCAAGAACCGCGTCGTGACTGGCAAAGAACTGACATAAAATGTACGTGGGGTGCACAACCTGGTTGCCAGGAGCTGGGAGCAAACTGTGACCCCCTTCCGCACGCAACAACTATTTTATCCGCATGCAATTTACATGGAAGATGCAATGGAGCCCCTTCTGCGTACACATCTATTGCACGGACACTTGCTATCCCCACCAAACGTTGAATCAAACCCGACCACTTCTTAACCCATCCCCGCGGCTTACAGTTCACTGCCGAGGTCATGAACTCCCCCAGAACCCGCATCCTAACCATATGCTCGTCACTACTCTACAGCGCTACCATTGAACATGCTGCTGTTCTCCAAACGAATGCTGCACCCAACATGTACGAATTTCTCATTGTTCGCAACTCCCCTTGTGTCCGAACTACCACCACTACCAAGCTCCCCCACGAGCGCAACCATTCTCAAGCCGACAGCTGAATCAGCGAGGGTCACCCGTCCCGGCGACTATCACGTCCTGCTCTATCAAGTGCCAAGGGATGCCATTTCCTTCACGGAGCTTTTCTGCTCTGCTAACTCTCTCACCAAAAACTGCACAATAACCTACGCCTCAATGTTGCGACAGACTCTCTGTGCCAACCCCTGGGATGGGGTACTGGGTCGCAAATGCTTCAACCCGTTTTCGTAGATCCAGAATCGCACCACGTTGTTCGCAGCTCTCCGACTCCACGTACTCCAGAAAATCCTTGATCTTCGTCCCTGGACACGTCTCCTTTGCCTTCACTGTGATTTGGATACCCTCGTGGATGAAGTTTGCCACCTTCACAAACTCCGCTTCCCCAAGACCTCGCGTGGTAAGAGCCGGTGAGCCAATTCGAACTCCACCGGGGTTGATCGCACTCTTGTCTCCTGTTCATCATAACCAAACTCGTTGTTACCACCCTTATGATGCACAACACTTCCCACATTGTGTCGAGATGCACCTTCCCGCACCCGGCGGTTATCATCCGACCTCCACATCGATCACGGCTCTAGTTCGCGTTCTCCGACAACACAGATGATCACCTGCTTCGTCATGATTCCCTCAACCCACCAACATAAACTCACTACTCACGCCACGAAAAACCCTAGGCTACACACGTACCAGGAACAGAATTCTTGTTCAGCGTGATGGATGCCAAATCCAGCACCTTCTCTGCCCGCGCACCATCAGCACCCTGCCAATGCCATCAACAGCTCAGAGTCGGAAACTACCAAGCAATCACACAAGCAGTGCAACTGTACAACACCACCGGTCCTTCTCGCCTATTTCATCACATGGCTAAACATATCTCCCCACTTCACATTCGCTCCCGACTCCTTTCTGCACAAACCTCATCGACGATGCTGCAAACGCTCGCCCCTAAAACCCCGACTTCAAACTTCTCTAAAACCGACTCCACCACCTTACGCAAGGTTTTGTTCCCGTGAAACCCTACTCTCCCAATCCACCATTTCCTCATGCAACGCGTAACACGCATTGCGGCACACAAACATGCACATTTCGGCGCTCTCCACGCGTCACTCTCATCACACACTTACCATGGGTCGGAGGTCAACCAGCACCAGGTGATTGTCAGTCCCTCCTGACACAAGCTTGTACCCCAGCTCCATCAATCTATCTGCCAAAGCACGACAGTTCTTCACAACCTGCACACAACATAAAAACACTCGCATCAACGCATACCGCCATCGAGCACTACACGTTGCCCACATGTTCCAACAAGATCAACACCTCCACAGCCCAATATTTCAGGCTCCCGCACATAAACACCGGTTAATCGGAAACACTCTCACGCGCCACTCCTTGCGTGGACAGCCATACCTGCTGTTGATAAGTCTTAAACTCTGGGGTAGCAGCTTGCTTCAGGCATACGGCGAGTCCTCCGATGGTATGATTGTGCGGACCACCCTGTCCACCATGCCAACACCACACAACACCCGTCACACCGGCGATCATTCACGTAGCCATCCATGAAGCGACAGCACTCGTGCCCCATACTACTGGGCCAACCGGTGCACAAAACACCCCATCACCACACAAACCCAGTAGAAAAGCCACACATCCTGCACCACAACACGCCGTCGTCGTGTATCAAGTATCGACGACCATCACACTCCAGCCACGATACGCAAGCCAGAGCTGGAACCACCCCCAACTAATCCTCTTCGACTCCACTTACGCTGATACTCTCCACTTCTGTTACGCACCTGAAGACCCGGGAAAACAGCATTGTTGATGGCGTTTTCCAGATCGATTCCATTCACCTCTCCTTTCCGGTAGAAGATCATCCCTCCTCTTGGACCCCTCAAAGACTGCCCCGCACACAACAACACACACGGTCAGCCCACAACGTCGAGACCACTGTCCCCTCAACCTCCTTCCCGACAACCCCTTCAACTTTTCAAACCCCCTTGCCACAATCCACGCCTTACTCCAACATGCAAACCTGACATGTCACTCCAACGTTCTATCAAACGCGACAGCAACCCATCAAACAGGCACCACTGCTTGCACCACCAACACCACCAGCCTTACTTTGTGGGTAGTGGTGGTCACGACGTCGCAGTACTCAAACGGGTTGCTTAGAACACCGGCTGCAACAAGCCCACTAATGTGGGCCATGTCCATCATCAGAAAAGCTCCCACGCTGTCCGCAATCTACATCACCCAAACCCCGGAAACCATCAACCCACTTTTAGTACGTCTGTTGCATCGTTTCACCGCCATTCACTGCCACTACAAACTCATGCCTCACACAATGTGACACATCCCTCGCACAACTGCCCTCCCCGCTCCACCTCACACCAAACCTCCAAATTGCGGACCCACGGTACGAATTCTACCTTCCGCATACGTGGGTAGTCGAAATCACGAGCGTAAGCACTTGCTCCCGCTATGATCAGCTTCGGCCGGAACAACAAGGCCGTCTGTTGCAAGATATCGTAATCCACCAGTCCTGTTCGTTCCCATGCACGACCAGTCAAAAACATGTGCCCGCCTCCACTCACAAAACTACGACGGCAACAGGACCTCCAACTAACCCCAACGCATGCTTCTGCTCCTCTCATCAGCGTGTTGAACTGGAAAACTCGACGAGGGTGGGTTCCTCTTCCACGACAAAGACTGCAGCACATCTCTCTGCAAAACACCTACTTCTCACGTCCAACTTACCCGTGGTTTCGTTCAGGCGGTACGGCATTGACTCGAAGTACACTGAAGTGGCAGACACCCGTCTCTTCGGGGTCATAAACCCGTGCGTCAGATGCCCTCCATGTGCTAAGTCCAACCCCTGCAACACATCCCACCAATATGCTAATCACAAACCCTCAACCCGAACCCCCAAACCATGCACGTCGATCAATCCGTTCACTTCCTGCTTGCACGCCCAACAAAATACTAACACAGCATACCCCTCAAACATTGGAATATGATATCCGACTGCTATCACCCGTGTGATTTCACGGATCACCCATGACTATGCGTGCTTCCCTCCATGCCAGTGATGACAATGAAAACACTAGGCATACGGTACGGAACATTGAAACCTGGTCGGCCCTTGCTCCTCACAGTCATTATACTAGATGTACCTTCACCTCCTGCCCGAACATTCCAAGGAACTCACACAACAGATGTGTGGGAAACCCCCGACGAAGCTCATCAAATCATAGACACCCACTTTCACAACATCATCCAATGTTCTCGACCTTGCGTGTGAACTCAACACCCCTTACGATTCCACACGAAACCATACTCCAACACCTCCCGTACCAAACAACTAGCTGTATCTGCACAACAAGGGCGTCGTGCCATACCATGATACGATCGTGCGGCTGAAGAAGAGCAGTATATACTGCAAAGTTGGCCGGGGACCCAGACAGTGGCTGGACGTTCACTCCCCATTCCTTTTCATCCACATGGAATGCGGTCAATGCTCGTTGCTGGCATAACCTTTCGCTCTGATCAATGTACTCGTTCCCACCATAATACCTGCATTTCAGCTCAATTCCCAGAATTCAGCACCTTCTGTGCTACCCGTGCTGTAACTCGGACTTCCAAGGTCCCTATCGACGCTGTTGTAACAACCCATCCATGACACTAGCATCGTTCAACAGCACCCCATGAGCACCCGAACAACCGGGACAAGCAAGCAATGACAAAACAGCCGAACGCGATCCTTCCAACATTGCACAGTCCACTCTGAACGATACACTACGGCAGAGCGTCATGTTGTGAGAAAGCGTCAAACAGACTCATCAGCACACCTCTTGCCAGGCAAGCCCTCCGAGTACTTGTTCGTCAGACAAGACCCAACAGCCTCCATGACCGCACGCGACGTGAAGTTCTCCGATGCGATGAGCTCCAGGCCCCGAAACTGCCTTCGCTTCTCGCACTCAATAATCGCGTGCACATCGGGGTCGATTTCCGACAACGGAGGGTCGACAAATCGCGTAGCTCCTGCAAGCGTGTAACCGAGTAACTCATGTTAGTGTGCACTGCGTCAATCCTCTGCACGAACCCTCATT